TTTTTTAATTTTCTTTCCCTCTCTTTTTTAATTTTTTTCCTCTCTTTTTTTTAATTTTCTTTCCCTCTTTTTTTTAATTTTCTTTCCCTCTCTTTTTTTTAATTTTCTTTTTCTCTTTTTTTAATTTTCTTTCCCTCTTTTTTTTTAATTTTCTTTCCCTCTCTTTTTTTTTAATTTTCTTTCCTCTTTCTTTTTTAATTTTCTTTCCTCTCTTTTTTTTAATTTTCTTTCCTCTTTTTTTTTTAATTTTCTTTCCCTCTTTTTTTTTTTTTTCTTTCTCTTTTTTTTTTAATTTTCTTTCCCTCTCTTTTTTTTTAATTTTCTTTCCCTCTCTTTTTTTTTTTTCTTTTTTTTTAATTTTCTTTCCTCTTTTTTTAATTTTTTTCCCTCTTTTTTTTTAATTTTCTTTTCTCTTTTTTTTTTAATTTTCTTTTCCCTCTCTTTTTTTAATTTTCTTTCCCTCTTTTTTTTAATTTTCTTTCCCTTTTTTTTTAATTTTCTTTCCCTCTCTTTTTTTTTAATTTTCTTTCCCTCTCTTTTTTTTTAATTTTCTTTCCCTCTCTTTTTTTTTAATTTTCTTTCCCTCTCTTTTTTTTTAATTTTCTTTCCCTCTCTTTTTTTTTAATTTTTCTCTTTTTTTAATTTTCCCTCTTTTTTTTAATTTTCTTTCCTTTCTTTCCCTCTTTTTTTTTTAATTTTCTTTCCCTCTCTTTTTTTTTTAATTTTCTTTTTTTTTTTAATTTTCTTTCCCCCTTTTTTTTTAATTTTCTTTTCCCCTCTTTTTTTTAATTTTCTTTCCCTCTTTTTTTTTTAATTTTCTTTCCCTCTCTTTTTTTTAATTTTCTTTCCTCTCTTTTTTTTTTTCTTTCCTCTCTTTTTTTAATTTTCTTTCCTCCTTTTTTTTAATTTTCTTTCCCTCTCTTTTTTTTTAATTTTCTTTCCCTCCTTTTTTAATTTTCTTTCCCTCTCTTTTTTTTAATTTTCTTTTCTTTTTTTTAATTTTCTTTCCCTCTTTTTTTTAATTTTCTTTTTTTAATTTTCTTTCCCTCTTTTTTTTAATTTTCTTCCCTCTTTTTTTTAATTTCTTTTTCTTTTTTAATTTTTCTTTCCCTCTTTTTTTTAATTTTCTTTTCCCTCTTTTTTTTTAATTTTCTTTCCGGTTAATAACTTTAACTTTATTTTTGTTTGTAATCTTGCCACTAGTTCTAAAAATTGGCTACATGGGCTTTGTAAGATTTCTCATCAGGGAAGATAATTTAAAATATATATATATATATATATATATATATATATATAAATTTATCTTATTTATTTTATTATACATGACCTACAATTGACTTATCTTTTCAGTTAAAATGTTTTTTGATATTTCTCATAATGAACCGAATAGAAGATTGAAATGACCATATTTACCTTGTACATTAAATAAATAAATGAATAAATAACATACTACTATAAATAAATAAATAAAAACTTACTTTCTGTTACAAAGGATCAAAAAAAAATAACTTTTTCTTTTTTTTAAATATCCAATAATGTATTTTCTCCTGAACATTGTTTGACGTGCATGATTATCAAACAATCTAATTTTAATGAAAACTGCCAATATAATTTTATTTTTTTTAAATTTAACTTTTTTTTTGCTTCTTAGAGAATATACCCCCCACTCTATTTAATTTTTAATAATTTTTTGCATGTTGTTTTTACTTTTCTATTTGTATCTCTCACAAATGGATCACAATTCATGTGTTATTTTCATTGTGTTTACTTTTATACACTTTTTGTTCATAAAGTTTCTATTAATTATTGAAGGACAAAAATGGCCCCTGCTTAATTTTGATTTTTCTTAATATTCTTTGCAGAATTCTATACCCAGGAACAAAAATCAGCTCCTAGTTTCTATAAAGACATCTTAATTTTGCTGAAGGGTTTTTCACTAGTATTTAAATTAGTACACAGTTTCAATAAAAGAATAATCAAGCATATTTGCATTTCATGTCATTTCCCTGTATTGCTTCAGTAAGTACATAACTTCTCTTGCTATCATCTACCTTTACAAGAGCCAGATCAGGCTAAAAATGAAGTACTGCAGTCCAATCTTCATTATCCAATCTCAATAGTCTAAAAGTGTCTCCATGGCCTTGTGGGTGATAAATTATTTTCCACTCTACAATTCCTTTCCCACAGACAAAACATTGCAAGCCTCTTACTACTTTATCACTATTTCCATGGAAAGTGCTCAAACAGTCTACATTCCTTAGTTCCACCAGTTCTAATAACCTTTATGGTTAAGACCCACTATGTCATGCACATTGCAGTAAACTACCCTCATTCTCTTTGTATTCTATTGGTGAGATGTAAGTTTCACTTGAGCAGCTTCTTCCCACAAACCACTGCTTTGTGGAATCAGCTCCCAAGAGGATGCTTCTCCAGTCATTACAAGTTTAGGGTTAACTGTTATCTGTCCTAAATATAACTATAAACTATGACTCTTGCTCTGTAACCCTATACTTGTACAGGGTGAACATCTCTGTAAAAAAAAAAAAAATTCTATTTTATTTTTTTGCTTTGTCTGTTCCTTCCAGTGAACTGAAGGATATAACTTTAAGTCTCCAAAATTACACCATTGGATTGTCAAAGTGACCTATGGCCTTGTAGATTGAAATATTGGTTATGCCATATCTGATTTCTTGGCAATTGTGAGTTTAATTCCTGGATCAAGTAGTCCTACTCAAAGGCTAAGAGAACTGATATGAGAATTCCCCCTGTTCCTCTAAGCATGGAAAGTAGTATAAGAATAATCTATCCCAGTGGAGTGAATAAAAGGCTTGATTCAAACTTTTGCAGAAGACTGGTGGGTATCATGACCCAAAAGTTATGCATATAACAATGAAGATGAGCTAGTTTGAATAGAAAGGTAATATACAAGTCAGTTCTTATGTTCTTCAGTTAACATGATATCTGTATATTTGAAATATAATATCGTTAAAACCATTTAGAAATTAGCCACACACACACACACATATGAGTGTGTGTCTTTCGCAAATGTTTAGTAGTAATTAATTAGTAATTAAGATTATTGGGTGAAAATTGCCTGTTGACAATATTGATGTTTTGTGTTTGCTTGTACATCATGACTTTTTTATTATTATTATTAGTGTTTTTTTTGTTTGTTTTTTATCCTATTATAGAACCAGGATAAGTTTCCAAGTGTCTTATTTTCTCAAATTTTTATTTATTTTATTTTATTTTAATTTAATTTTTTTTTTTTTTTTTTTTTTTTTTATTTATTTTTTTTTTTTTTGTAAAACTGGTGAATGTCAAACTGATCTATTTGTTAAAACAAAAGACAAAAAATCCTTGTAATTAGATTATCTATTTAGATATCTATATATTGTGTTATTCATGTCCTCTAAAACTGAAACTTTTATTAATCTTCATAATTTGAGGAAAATATTTTTATTTCTCTGATTATTAAACTGCAACTCTACCATTTTATTGAATAGGTATACATTTACTCTGAGAAAATAATTCAGTTTTATTTTGTTATGCATAAACTGAACTTCGAATAAAACTTTAAAAACTGGTTAAATTTTATTCTCTACTTTAAATGAGCATAATTTAAAAGAAAAAAAAAATGACATTGGATTGTCTAGTTTATAATAAAAACAGGTTTATAGAATACTTAGTTTGAGGGGGCACCTGTCATGTGATAAGCCTAGAATAAAATACACATTCTGAAATATGATGCTTAATTGGATGAATGTCAGATGAATTTAATGCGCTACATTACATCCTAAATAAAACAATATCCCAATCTGAACACTGCCTATTGACTTCTGGTTTCTTCAGTTGCATATTTGATCATTGCATTTTGTCAAACAGGTATACAATTCTGATTTTTTATACTGCCCTCTTGATGTTTTAAGAAATTATTTAGTAATCATCTTTTTATTATATACACACTGTCATTTTTCTTTTATCTTGGTGTATATTAGGCAATGTTTTCTTGTTAAATTATCTTGGGAGTCAGCTGGTTGTTAATGTTAAAGGCATGCTTACTCACTTTAGCCAATTGAGGGTATGGTTAATTAGTGACATTTTGTAAATATGCTTGGATGGTATTATCTTAAGTGAAGTTGATTTATAATTCAGTCAATTTCAAATCTTCACTGTTTAAACCTAAAAAAAAAAAATATTATCGAGCTTCTTTCTCTTTTGCCAAAATGAGCAACTATTTTTATTCCCCTTCATCCTTAAAAGAATAAATTGCTAACTCTAGTATTATACAATAATTCTTTTATGCTATTTTCCTTATCTTGTTAATGTTATGGCTGCTATACTTTCTGGCCTTCCTCGGGTGTCTTTTCTCTTCAGTAACCTTCAGGAATACTAATGAAACCTGTTATTTCATCTGTAAGGATACATGTAACTTTTCTGGAAGGTTAGTGAAAACAAAAGACTTGAGGGGTGGAGACACTGACAAAAACTTTGTAATAGAAATGATCAAGATATTTTGAAAGAATATGTTTATAGTAAAACAAATTTTTTTTTTTTTTTTCTACAAAAATTTCATGCAATATTTGAAACCTTTTACTTTCGTATGATCAAAAAAAAATTGAATATGTATGTCTTGTTTGTATATTTTAAAAAATATGTAAACGAGATGTATATTCAATTTTATTTTTAATTAACAACATTTTTGGTTGTTATTTGTTGTATTTATGAATATTTTAAATTACATATTTTATACTGGTTATAAATGAAAAGCACTTGTGATGAAATATTAAATTTAGATTTGTCATGTCTTCAAATTTGTCTTTTCTATTCTAAACCATTTCTCTTTAGCTTTATGCAAGCTTATTACTAATGCTTATTAATCCTTCTGTAATCTTTGCTAACGGCAATATTCTCATTCTTTTCTGTTGGTCTCTCCCCCCCCCCATTTTGAATAAGAAACTCCTTTAATATCTAATGATATTTGTTTTACCTCTCCTTAGCTGGTGAGATTACTACGGGTCGATCAAGTTCTGCTCCTTCTTCTGGGAGAAGACGTCCTGCAGCATTGGACTGTTACTCCAGTCCTGCACAGAGGCAGCCAGATGGGTGAGAACAATATTTCTTTTTTCTATATCTACATTTTAAGCTTTTTGATTATATAAATATATTATACAGGTGTGTTTTTTTTTTTTTTTGTTTTTTTTAAATGCTTGTTTTATTAAATTTTTAAAATTTTTAATATTCATCATCAAAGCTGTTTTAACTTGGAGACACATTGCAAATCAGTTTGATTTCTAATCATCAACATTGTTATTCATTTCCAAGTATGCTCATCTACTCAGGAACCATTTGTGTTTCTTCAACATCCACAGAGCCAACCTATGCTATATACTGCAATTATACCAAGCAGACTTTAGTTACAATTCAAGTATGTATCTCACCAAGGTCACATACAGGTTTAAATTCAGAGTTATCATTTTCCTATACTGGCAGTCAACCACAGCTAGAGTCCAGTTTGCCTTGCTTTTTAATCCATAGCAGGGGATAGAAGAAATTGTTTCATATCTTTTCCAAGGATATTTGTGTGAAAGTGTATGTAATGATCTTGACCTGAATTTAAACTTGGCTTGCTGATTTCTTGTTTCAAGCTTCTAACCATTACACTGCTTGCACATCTATTTTCAATATTGCTGCTTAAAATATTTGTGTGTGCACAGACCTTTTTGTAAATGGAAGATAAATTATTTGAGGAACTATAAAAAATCTTTTTGGAGGCATAAACCTATTGTGAAAGGGTTTCATCTTATTTGTATTACTTTCAAGTTTTTCCATTATTTCATCACTTGTTGATGTTAATATTTTTTTTATTTTGGATGGAAATGGTTGTTATAACATCTTTCTGTTCCATGTTATCTAGAAATGGGTCACATACAGAGGTTTTTTGATATGGCAGATCTTATAAAAACTGTCGTAAAAAGAGCTTATTCTCTATCACATACTGTCTGCACGTGACTTTGCATATGTAATATATATGTGTATATCTTACATGTACTTGTGCCATTTAATATATGTGCGCACACACACAAAAGGTACGATGAGTAAATTGTCTCCATTTTATATTTTTAATTTTGTGCATTGTTTTTGATTTTGTCGACTGTACAGTATAGTAGGGTCAGTTGAGCACCATCTGTGAAAAAAGAGCACCATGATGCAATTCACTCTGCCAGAAATTCTATACTGCTTAATATTTGCTTCTGAAGGTCCAATATGAACATTTCAGAGTGTTTGGGTATCAATCTGAGGACAGTACAGAAGATTTGGAAAGAGTTGGATGAGTCTAATAGTGATTATGAGGGTACAGCAGCTCAGAAAACCGACTGATTGTTCTGATAAAAGAATCCCCAAATTTGTTGGTGAGGGCCTCAGACTTGACATGGAGGCCTACATCAAGTAGGAGGTAGTGCTGCCCTGGATCAAGAGGGTGGCTGCTGGAAGACCTCATGTCTGGCAACTGGACTCTGCACCATGTCACATACGCAGGAGGACCCAGTTGTGGTTGTCGGACAATTTCTGCAATCTCATCACCCCTTACATCTGTCCACCTAACTCCCAGATTGCAACCCTCTTGATTATTATGTTTGGAGTGCAGTTGAGTGAGACCAACAAAACTCTTTGTAACACCAAAGATGAACTGAAGGCAAGGATTATGGCAGCATTCATCAACTTAAACAAGGAGACCATCCAGGCGAGTTGCAGGAGATTCCAAACTTGTCTGGAGGGCGTGGTTGAAACCAATGTTGATTTTTATTGAATGAATTTACTCTTTAGTATTTCAAGATATTTTTGTGTGATTTTGGTAAATATATCTGTTAAAATGAGATGTCAGTGTTTTTATTTTTGTGTAATTTAGAGGAAAATTTATCCATTGCATCCTGTACACAAACACACAATTTGACCATTTGAAATATGGCATTCCCAGTCCACTCAGTCTAAACAGCTCCTACCCAGAGCTAAACAATAAAAGCATATAGTTGAAGACAGAAAAAAATTTTAATTCCTAAAAAAATCAGATAAATCTAAAATTTTATTAAGCTTTTAGGAAATTATTCGATAATAGAATTTATTTTTTAATTTTGTAGAAATATTTTGGTTTTTTGAGTTAAAATATACTTGTGTTCATCGAAGCATACCTACACACATACAATTTGAATGAAACTGAGATGGAAATCTATATTGTGTAGGCTAATTTCAGGCAACAATTCCTGGATAATAGGGAAAGAGTGCAGCTAAAATGTGAAGCTCTTTGAAGTCATTTTTATGACTCCTGTATTTAAACTGGATATATTTTCTAATAAAAGTTGTATTTTAAAATGAAAAAAAAATTTAAATTTGAAATTTGCTCATTTTGCCATCAACAAAATGACAGGGACTGAACTAATTATTACTATATAGTTTTCCAAAATTTCTTCTGTACGAATTTATTTACTAATCCAGATTAATTTTTTTCTTTTAAGAAAGTTCTCATTTTTGTACATTTATGTAAATTGTTTCTATCATTTTACTGGGAAGATCTATGACTCATAAACTGATAGATTTGAAAGAAAAAGTAAAACATTATATTCTCAATTTTTCCGCTTGTACATTGTTGAGTAGTGTGGAGGTCCAAATAGTCTAATTGTTATTGACATGGAAAGCAAAGTTAATTTTCTGGTCAGTTCTGTTTTGTTTGTTTACTTTGTGTGAATGTCTTTGGAAAAGGCATAAATCTCTCTTCATCTACATATGGGTTAAAAATCAAGGCAAACTGGGATCTTTTAGCTTGAGGTGGCAGCCAGTCTAGGAAAAAGAAAACTCTGAATTCAAAACCAAATCCAAGAGAGATGGGTTCCATCAGGCTATTTTACTCTAGACACCCCACTGTTGCTATGACTGCAGTATATGTGGTGACCTAACTCTAGTGGAATTGTGTCTATTGAACAGTTATTATCTTAGAAAAATGTATTTGTTTCAATCTATAGAATTATCTTTGGATAATAAAACTTGACATGCTGCATCAGATGCACACACACACACACATACATATATATATATATATATATATATATATAATATATATATATATATATATATATATAAACCACAACATGAGTATTTTTATATAAACCACTTCTGTAACATCTACAATCTTAACCATGTCCTACATCCAGCAGGAAGGCCTCTGATTGGGATGTTTTGAGGAGCGTTGGACCACCTCTTAATTGTTGTTGTTACCAGGTTCACTCTGATCTAGGGTGGTAGCACCTGTTAGGGTACCAACTATAGACAAATAGTTAACCCACAAACTAGGGTCAAAACAATATGAAAGTATAAATATACATTTTTATAGTAAAAATACCAGCAATACATTTCCATAGTAAAAAAAAAAAATTAACAACAATGTATTTTGAGGGTGGGGAGATACCAGCAACACATTTTTATAAAAGAAATTACTAATGTTCTCAAGAAAATTAAATTTCTGCATTAAATGACCCATAAGGAGTTGATATGCCACTAAATAAACAACCTTAACCATTTGTGATCATAAAATCTTTTGTTAAAGATTGTCAGTCATCTTCAGCTTACTTTGCTCTAAGAAATTATCAGTTATTCCAATTAATAATGTAGTCAGGTTTTTTTCTTTTTATGCTAAATTTTGAAAATAAAAAATTATTAAAAACTTGGACTAGTGTTCTTGGTTAAATTAGAGATTCTTTTTTACACTGAGTTTTATACTATTTTTAAAAGACTTGTTTATCAGTATTACAAAAGGTTTTGGTCACTTTAAGTTATTGCACATTCCTAATTATTGCCATTTTATAAGTGCATATTTTGCATTGCATTTTCTACTGTTGGAGTCATTTTCATATCAAATTATATACCAATGAAAACTTTTTATAGAATAGATATTTAACCTTTAGCACTCTGCATTATTAATATTATTTCCCTTTCCATTGCATTCTTCTTCAAGACCTCTCAATTGCATGAACCTTATTGTTAATTTCCTTCAAAGATGTTTTCTGCTGCTATAGTGTGCTTGATAAGGAATACATAAAAATCCTTCCCCAGGAATGAGATGCTATTCTTTGTGGCTGAGTTTCCAAAACTTTAAAATTACATGGATTCTTCTGATGAACTCTTTCCTACTTTTTAGTTCCATCCTCATTTGCATAATATTTAAATCAAGACCCTGAGTTGGCTAATCTTTTAATAGTGACATCTTCATCAGTTAGCTTCAGTTGTCTTGTACCCAGTCTGTGACATAGAGCCTTATCATAATGAAAAATGTCACCTTCATCTGAATCTGGTAATGGGAGATATTTTACTTTCTAACTCAAAATGCACCTCTACATCTTAGTTTGATTGAATGTAATCTTTTTTCCAAGCCTCTGTATCTCCATATAGTTCAGACAAACTTAATCTTGTTTTCAAATGCTTTTTGTTTAATGTTGGCTTCTTTAGCTGAAATACATGTCTTCTGTCCATGTTCTTGAAGGATGTACTTAGTAGCATTTTCAGACACCAAACTGCATTTGTCTTAAAGTCTTCTTTGGCTGAGCTTTTACTATCCTGATCATTTTCCTTAGCATCCTATGCCACGTCTTGGTTGATCGGAAACACTTCCGGTGCCCTTGAAACAGTTTTTCTAATGATGCTGCTTCAAATTCTAAGTTCCTTAGTTCTTGCTCATTGGCTTCTATTCTTGGCTATCTTCATTATCTTAATCTTAGTTTCTGCAACAGTTTTCACCATGATTTCAAGCATCGAATAAATGCATGAATTTTCACTAGAGGATGTGGTGGGGGAGGGGGGAAAGAGTTGCTGTTGTGAGAAAGCAAAAAAATTTTTTTCTTACATCCCCACCCCATATGATAATTAGGTATAGAAGTTGCTCTAACAAGGCCAATCTGTCATCTGTAGAAAATGTGATGCAAAAAAAATTTAAATCCACTGATAAGCTAGCAATTATTAGAAAGCTGCAATAGTTTAAAATGTCTGAAGACTTTTACACAGTAGTGTGTGAGATATATAGAAAGAAATTCGAGAGATATTAAAACAACAAAAATAACTATTCATAAGACTAATAATATTGTATATTGTAGAAAAAAAGTACGCCTTTTTTTTTTTTTTTTTTTTTTTTTTTTAATTTCTTAAGGGCACAGGTGTGTCCAAAAATTACAATTTTTTAAACCTATTCTCATGCTTCTATTTATTCAAAACGCCTCCTGATATACAATAAATATTATTAGTCTCATCAATAGTTATTTTTTTGTTGTTTTTTATATCTCAAATCTTTCATTAACCCGCTATCTTTACATATATTAGAGACATACATGGACAAGTTTTCTTGTGATGTGTTTTGTCCTTTAGGACTTCATCGGACTAAATTTCTTCTGTTGGTGCAACTACACATTCACCTGAATGAGGGATGCTGACAATTAAAAAAATTTTTTTTTAATTTGATTCCATTTAGATTCTTTTTCTTTCCATCACTTTTTTTTTTTTTTTTAGTAGATATCCCATACTATGATAATAGATCTGCCAAGAATGGTGAAATGTAAGAGCCCAGGTGCAAATTTACTGTGGATGACCTTTTGATCAAGGCGCTCTCTAGACATTTTTGTTGGAATGAATTGTTTTATCATTTGATCAGAGTACCATTTTTTTTTTTTTTATATCAAAATTGTGGTCAATCTCATTACAGTAGGCAACTGATGCATTCGATGTATTGTTTTGTAAAATGTTTCGTTTCTGTTCATATCTTTTTAGATTCCTTGAGGTTCCTCCTATGTATTTTTGTGACAATTATTACATGTGATCGTGTGTGTGTGTGTGTATATATATATATATATATATATATATATATATATTTTTTGGTAGAAACATTCTAGTTATAATCAAAATACTTTCTGCATTGTAGGACTGAAATTGAACAAAAATATCAAGAAATAATGAAGCAGACTGGTATTTTAAATGTGAATGGACAGGTAAGATGAAGTTTTGTATTATTTTTTTTTAAATTTTTTATAAACTGTATATACTTAAATTATTCAAGATATATTGCAAAAGCCCCCCCCTTACTGAAAATCCATACTGAACATTTATATCTAGTGACTAATGATTACCAATTAAAATATTGTAGCTTAGGCACACCAAAGTAAAATAAGGAAATTTGATGAAATTGTTGTCGTAAAGTCTTTCTGCTATATATTATCTTGCCACTATATTTACTTAATAGAAACTAGAATTATGTTGTTGTTGGTTTTTGTGTGTGGGTCACATCAGTAAGTTATATTTTGCTGATATCATTTACTTCATGACTTTTTTTTATGTAGTACATTAGTATGTGTCTGGCAACTCTTCAACATTTTTTAAAGAAAATATTTATCCATGCCTTGAGTATTGCTGCTTCATTTGGTCTGGTGTTTCTGCTATGTATTTAGACATTCTTGATCAAATACAAAGAATCTGCAATGTTATTGGTCTTGACCTGGCATCTTAGCTTCAGTTACTTCTCACCACAATAATGTAGTTTCCCTGTCTGTGCCTTTTCTATAAATATATTCATGGTAACTGTTCTGGTGAGCTTTCCTCTTTGGTATTGGGACTTTATTAATTTAAGCGCAGTACTAGATTGGCAAAGTTCTCATCATTTTATAGTTGAAATCATTATTTGTAAATCTAAGTTCTGTACTGACAGTTTCTTCTCTCGCATTTCTCACTTCTCTCATTTCTTCTGTCTTTTTGCTTTACAATCAACTTCAGTTTTCAAAAATTTAAATGCAATGTCAATCATTATCTTCTGTCTTAATTCCTGTTCTTTTATTGTTCTCTCTCTGTAATGATATTTTGTTTTTTCTCATTCTTTCACACTCAATAACCTCTTTTTGTGTCATAGTGGCTTCATTGCCTTGTTTGGGGTGAAATGATTAAAAAACAAAACAAAATGATGTTGCCAAAGATAGAAACATACTTTAATATTTTGCAGTTTTATCCAGGCCACTGATTACATTCTGTTCCAAATCTCCCTGTAATTTGAAGATGTAACAAAAAAAAAAAAAAAAAAAAAAATGAACTGAAAACTATAAATTTGTGATCTTGTTGGTAGAAGATGAGGAAACTGGACTCTCTGCTTTGCACCTTGACCATCATTGATACAAAAACAAATGAATCTCTTTTTTTGAAAATGATGTTAGTTTTAAGTAAATATTCAGTGTTTTTATACTGTAAAATGAGTTTAATATGAAGTGATTAGGAAAAGTGCTGACATCACTGATACCCAATAAATTAACTAATGCTTATTTTAAAGTAAGCAACTGTATTTTGCCTCTTATTTCTTTTAAATTTTTATTCAATACAAATTGTTATATGTCCACCAATCCACATATTGTTTATGGTGCCCGACTCTTGTTGAGATGAATTTGGAATTCAATAATTTACCAATTTAAATGTCAGTGTGATGCTGACCAACATATCGGTCAATATTCGCAGTGGTTTGCTGATTGCTGTTTTTGTATCAAATATTTCAGCTATGTGCTAGTCTTATAACCAAGACATGTTTTCAGTACTGCACAAAGCTAATTCTGAATTTCATTTGAAAATTTTGGAATCTGTTTACAGTAAGTCTAACCAGCCAACTCTCTGTCTACAGGAGTGGTTGGTGGGCTTAAAATTAATTAGCGTATAAGTGTTATTATTATTATTTTTTTTTATTTTTTTTATTTTTTCATTTCATATAAGATTTGTCTTGAGCATTCATTTTTAGTTGTTAAGTGGGTTTTTTTATCCTCAATCTTAGCCCCTGACAAGAGATGACCAATACACTGGTTTAGCTGTCTTTTGTTAATAATGTTGTATTTCAATATTTGCATTTCTAGTAACTGTTGTGTGTGTGTTTTTTTTTTTTATTGGGTTTTGTGTTATCCAGTTTTTGGTTATAAGCTTCTTGTTTTAACATTTGTTTTTATTGCTTTAATAAAATTATTATACCCCCTACAAAAATATTTAAATACAAATCAAGGATTGTCAGGTAGGTAGGTAGGTAGGTAGGTAGGTATGTACAAAATTAAAGAATAAAATTCATGAAGTGGATCGGTAAAGCAATAGTTTAGTTTGATTTTGATTTGAAACTATGAATGTAAGCCTTAATTTGTTTATTTAATAAACTATAAGGATATAAAAAATCTCTTAGTGTTGAGAAACATTTTTTGGTAAATGTTTTCATCTGAAAAGTAACAGAATATGTAATATTTGACTTTAATGTTAGTAAATGTTGAAATGATTTAGATACATTAATTTAAATTTGGTAGTTATATACTTGATAAACATGACTGATGATTCTTTGTTAACTAGAAACTTCCCAGTGATTGCAGTGATTTGGAAGCTCTGGGTGAACTTGGCCATGGCACATGTGGACAAGTAATTAAAATGAGACACAAGAAAACAAACAGTTATTTGGCTGTGAAGGTAAGTCAATTATTGAATTATATAAATCATTTGAGGGTTGTTTTTCTTTGGGGCGGGGTCCAATCATTTTATTGTCCCCTTTCCAAAATATTGTTAATTACCAAAAATTCAAGTACATGTTTTAAAAAAAAAAAAAAAAAAAAAAAATATGATATCCTTTTCAATTTTATGTACCCTTTCATAGTGACAAATTTTTTCACATGGGGGGAAAAGAGAGATATATGAATAATCTGTAACCTTTACTGAGAACAATCCACTTTTTTGTTGATAGATATATTGTGGCATCCATTGGTCTCTAGATATCATGAATATGTGCCTGAAGAGTTATGCTCTCTCCTGGGCAGGTTTTTTTTTTTTTTTTTAATTTATATATATGAGAGATTGACAGTTGCCCATATAGCACATCTCTCCTCACTACATCAATGTTGTCCAAGGGAAAGGCAGAGGCTAATACAGCTTGGCACTGGTGTCATCACAGGAGTTTCCAGGACGAAACTGAATATGACATTAGAGTGTCCTAGGGACTCCAGCTCTGAATTTGAATTCCAAGTTGTCCTTCTAGTCTGGTTGCTACAGAGCAGACTGCCCTACTATTTTACCCATAGTTGGAGGTTTTGAATTCAGAGTTTTTCCTTCTCTTAGATTGGTTGCCACCTAAAGCTATATGACCCAGTTTGTCTTGCTATTTGCCCATAGTTGGGCGGAGAAGCAATGGATTCATACTGTTGTGGAGTAGCTGAACACCTCTGCAAAATGGACTGGTCTAAGACTATTTAAACATCGCTCTCTCTTACTGAGCAAGAAGAATTAATGATTAAATGTTTATTACATTAGTCTGTGTTCTCAGCTGTGTACCATATTATTTCTCCAGAATAAACTACTACTTATTTTCTATATGTGTCAACCTTTCCTATTTGTGGCACTGCATGGAACTTTCCCAAAAGTATTGGCACATAAGTGAATGTAATGAACTCTACTGGAATTCCTCAATCTGAGCTGCAATCCATTTACTCTCCTTGCTGACAGAACAATTTCAGTTGATACACATAAATAGAAAGTCTTTTAACCTATACTACAAAACAATACTTGGAGAACTAGAAGACCTGCGATGATTTATGGATATAACTATAACAACATAAGATACTGTTTTGATGGCAGGCTGAGAAAGAAAACTGTAAGAACTCTTAGACAAAGTAGTAAAGGAAAAACAAAAAGGACTATTAACTGTAATATAGAATGTGGTTGTCAGTAAAAGGAACAACTTTAGGCATGAGCTACATATTAGGGATGTCAAAATCAAGCATGGACAGAAATTGGGTAGTGTGATAGATAATGAAATGTGACAGAAATCTGGTGCTGCATAGGTATAGCAAAAGATGATTTCAGAAACTAAGCACAGTATTGAGAGAGAGAAAAATGCATCAAGAAACAAAGAAAAATGCTGACCTGCTTTGATTAATCTTCTATATAGCACTGAATTCTGAAGAGATTGCTCTTCAAAAATGAAAAAGAAACTTAATGCAACAAAGATGTGGTTCTACTGAGAATACCATGGACAGAACATCTGAGGATGTTTTTTGGATGTGCAAGAAAATTTGTAGTTACAGCAAGAGGTAATCAAATTTCTGGGACACCTAGTGAGAAAAAAAACCCTGAAGGATCTAACACTCACAAAACATACTGAAAGCAAGAGATGCTGGGTGAAACAGTGAGTAACCTCTGTCTCTATTGTATGAGTTATTGTAACTATTTATACTATTTACATTGTTTGGACTATTGTCCTCATTTATAATGTCATATTCACAATGTTTTGGCCATTGTATGCTCTGGCCCTCTTCAGGTGATGTATGATGGAATTTTTGACACATGGCCCAGTGGTTGAGTAAAACAAAAAGTGACCTGACCTAAAGTCTTTTAATTTCAATACTTAGCCACAGCAGAAGGAACAATAACTTGGAGAGTTATTCGAGGGAATTAACTGATACTGAGATATCCAAAAAAAAGGCATGCCACGTGGAATTAGAACAAATCTACCCTGTGGACTAAATGAAGGATTGAAATTCTAACATATATCAACTGAAGAAGGTTGGAATATACAATGTCCTAAATGTTGTGAATATGGAAAAGATGGGGACAAAGGTCCAAACAATGTAAATAGTGAGTAACCTACTTAGCAAGTTTGTGCAGGGATGACAGAACCAGCACTAGAGCAGATGGTAAAGGGTAAAGTTACTTAGAGCAAGTCAGAAAGATCATTGACATGGTACATAAAAGAAATAATAAGCAGAAAATGGTCATCTGTTTCCTAAATTTCTTTACTCCACTTAACCTTTTAATAATGAATTAAAACATTTTAGAATCATTACAGTTTGCTCTTCTGATTTAACTATCATAGAATATTCATGTTGCTCTTAAAATAGTAATTTACTTTGGTCCAATTATTTTTTTTCTTTCTGCTTCAATTTGCCAACAAATTGATTTCTATTGATTATTTCTGGAGAAAATGAATCCTTAATCAAAAATGAAAACTATCCATAAATGATTTTCTTCTTTTTTTTTTCTTGTTTCATCTTTGGCTTTTATAGATGACTATATTCTTGTAAAAATTTAGTTGGATGGCTTAGCTTAGTTATTCCATCTTCCCTTTTTTTTTCCTAGACAGATATATAAGCATAATGAATATTTCATCTCTTTGCTTTTGCCAGAATTTCAAACTCTTGTATTCTGAAATGAACACAACTTTAAAAAAAAAACATTCAAATGTTTCTTGAACTGATTCTGAACAAATGAATTTGGATATTATGTTATATTAACATGGGCGCAATATTCACATCTTTACATTTTGTTTTATTTTATCTCTTTTGTTGTCTATGAAGCCATATTTTTTTCTTTTTTAATGTCCTTTTTTTTCTTTTTTTTTCTTTTTTTTTTTTGTACCTAAGACTAGATAATTTCTTTAACTTTGATATGTATATCATATCTGCAGCTAATTCTTTCATTGCTGAAACCTATTAAAAATTTAAATACCTTTTATGTAACAGATTTTGCCTAAATAATCATGAATTAGACATTTCATTTGCAAAATATTTGTAGTTTACCCACCTTGATATATCTGCTAATATTTCACTTTTGTGGAAAGTTAGTGGATTTTAAGGAGATTGAACTTTATGAAATTTATTTCAATGTAATTCTATCAGATCAATACTTAAAGATAGATTTCTGTTTGAATTTATGGGATGAGGAGTTATCTGGCCTTCATCAGGTATATACCAATCTGAGTAACCTAGAGATAATTCCAAACTGAATTCTTTACACAGGTAGTCTGTTCTTGTTTCACTGTCCATGTCTAGGGATATCTTGTTTAGTTCTTATTTTTAGTACTGCTCGGTCATAACAATAAATAGTCCTCATGTAAATAGTAAATTAAAGGGAGATGTAATGAAAGAATGTGCTGGAGAGACCAGTATGCATTTTAATGAATTTTTATTGATGTAACTACAATATTCTGTTGGCCAGCTCTTATTGGATTGGTGCTGAAATATTTTTACATTGACCATATGCAGAGATTTAAAACTATTCTGATATTTTGTCATTTGATGAAATTTTGGGAAATGGGTTAGGCTAAGAACTTTCAACATTCCCTCAAGGTAAAAATTAAAACCTTAATACATATATTCCTTTCTGCTAGCTTTTCTATTTAGTAGAACTTTTACAGGAAGTAGTAGCATATGTAGTATGCAATTCTTTAAGAGTTGATAAAAGGATAGTCTTGTTTGTGGTGTCATCATCAGTTTTAAGATTAAAGTCTTAAAAAAAAAAAAAAATTATGTAGATAATTTACCAAAAAAGAATTTTGCTATATTAACAATTTTATATAATTTTTATTCTAAAAAGTAGCCAATAATAGAATGATATAAAGAAAAAAAAAAGTTATGTGACATTTTGATCTTAATGAATCAGCAAATCCATATGTTAAAATCATTTTTTCTATAGAATAAAAATACAAAGCTAATGATAACTTAAATAATCTTTTATAGGTAATCAATTAGCATAAAAGATGTTGGTATTTTTTCTTAAGAGCCTCGATCATGCTCTTAAATTGTTTGACACCTAAAAATCTAGGCTACAAAATTTTTAAGTTTTGTAATTTGTATTTGGTGTAATGTCTGTTTGTGATGGAAATGCAAAATTACAGTGTTGTGATCTTATTAACTCAGATGTTGTGATAATATCATTTATTTGTTGTTTTAACTTTTTTATTTAAATGTAAATTGTGATTTTGAAATGATTAACTTTTTTTAAACCATGCTGCAACCTTACTGATAGTAAATATCTTTTAAATTCTTTTCAGCAAATGCGTCGTTCCAGCAATAGAGAAGAAAATAAAAGAATTATTATGGATCTGGATGTGGTTATGAAAAGCCATGACTGTCCATACATTGTTCAGTGTATAGGGATATTCATAACTACTGTGAGTATTTCATTGGCACTAATAAAAAAATATGGTCCACTTGTTAAAAAAAAAAAAAAATTGTGGAAATAATTTTTGTACATGATCATTCTTCAGATCATCCTTAGACCATGACACTTGTTTAGAAGGACATCCTGTTTTGTTTATAATATTGACACTTCACGATAAATCCCAGATTTTTACAGAGTTGTTGGCCTTTGGCTAAGTCACACATGTCAAATTTGAACCTATATCTGTATATATTTTTTTAATTTTATAGAAATTTTAACCATCTTTTATATTTGTTTTTTGTTGTTGTTTTTTTTTTTTTAATCTTTTTCTAAAAACTTCCTTTTTGTATGGAATTTTTTCCGAATCATATGCACAAACATTTGAGGTTAATAAATATTCAGCTTCAATAAGGAATAAATAGATACATATTTTTATTGATTTATGTAGTTTTGTTCTTTAACACTTCCGCTGCTAACTATGGAGATCTTCATTTTTCTTATCTTGCTCCAGCTGGCTAAGTACGGAAACCTACATTTTTTGCATACCACTGGTATGAGTGTCCCGTTGCGCCATCTATCGTAAAATATAGGAAATTCTAACTGTTCTATCATGCAAATTAGTAGTCAGCCTCGATTTTTCTCTACGTCATGGTAGTTTCGTATCTAATTTGAAAATATTCCTGACGAAAATGCGGCTAGCATGCAGATGCTCCCATCGCCCATGACCTTGGGTCATACCAAGATGGCGGCACCCATGAAACGAGCAGTGTAGCTGTCTGCAGAAGATGTTTTGGCAGAAATATTTGCTGACGATGACTCTGAATCAGATCGATTTAGCAAAAATTCTGATTCTGATGATCCCGAGTACGTGCGGGAGGATGGTAATGGTCGTGAAAGTGAAACTGACGAAAATATTAGCGATGATTTGAGCAATCATGGTGATGTTGACGTGAATGTTCATCATGGCCAAGGTGATGGTCAGCCCGTAAGCATAGGCGTTGCCGATGTAGTAAATAATGCAATGCTTGCAGCACCTGGTGGGCCTGTTGCAATGCCTGCAGCACCTGCTGTGCATAGGCCTGGCCCTGCTGATCCTGGTAATGCTCCACAGCCGGCTCCAGCCCGTGGTAGACAAAATCAGGGCAGGAGAAATCAAAATCAGGTGGAGGACTGGACAAATATTGACAGACTTCCACATGTGCATCAGTTCACTGGCACTCCAGGCAAGGGTGTTGCCTTCAGTGGTTGAAAATGTTTCTCACGGATGACCTTGTAAACATTATTGTGCAAGAAACAAATAGATATGCTCAACAATATTTCCAAGAACACCCCAATCTGAAACAGTATTCTCACTGGTAGGACTTGACAATGGAAAACTTTTGGCTGTTCTTGACCCTACTGTTCAACACAGGAATAGTGAAAAAGCCTGAAATTCAGATGTACTGGAGCACTGATCGGAAAGTGGTGACTGGATAAATTTCTTCTGATTCTGAAGTTTCTTCACTTCAGTGACAATAATGCTCGCCCCAACAATAATGAAGATTGGCTCTACAAGATCCGTCCTGTTTATGATTACATTATAAACGGGTTCAAAGCTGTGTACACTCCTGAGGAAAAACTTTCCCTAGATGAAGGGATGCTCAAATGGTATGGCCGTGTGAAATTTTGGGTCTATAATCCTCAGAAGCCTGACAAATATGAGATGAAAGGGTACATTGTTTCCGAGTCGAGTAGTGGTTACATCTGTAACTATGAACTCTAATGTGGTATTGGCAGAACAGTTCAGCAGATATGTGGTGGACCTCTGGAGCACATATATGGCTTTGGCTATAAAGTGTACTTGGACAACCATTACAACAGTGTCACATTGGCCAAATTCTTTCTGGAAGACGAGCGGAAAGTTCATGTTTGTGGTACACTTTGGCTGAACCGTGGTGCTCCTCGTGACCTGCAGCAGGAAGCTGATCGTGTTCAGTGGGAACAGGTGACATTTCGTAGGGATGGAGATGTGTTAGTGCTTGTGTGGAAGGACAAACGCCCAGTGAAAATGATCTCCGCTCTCTATGACTAGGATAGAAGATTCTGGTACTCAGGACAAGAACAATCAGCCAATTCAAAAACCTGCATGTGTACTGGACTACAACAAACATATGTCAGATGTTAACAAACTGGACCAGATGGCAAAATATTATCCCTGTACATGCAAAACCATCAAGTGGAGCAAGAAATTTGTGCTATATTTGTTTGAATTGTGCATTATGAACTCCCACATCCTGTACAACAAGGCAAATCCACAGAAAAAAACTTGCATTGCTAGATTTCAGGATGGAACGGATTGATGACATTCTTGCAGAATTTGGTCAGGCTGAGGCTGCCACCCCTGACCATCATTCCTCTGATTCTGAAAATGAAGGGGAAGCTCCTCAAGCTGTGGTATGTCCAAGTGCACCTAAAATTGATCCTGCCAATCGCCTGGTTGGTGGAATGAAAGCTCATGACTTGGTAGAAATTCCACCAACCAATAAGAAAAGATACCCTTCCAAGCCATGCAGTGTCTGCAAAAAAGCTGGAAAACGTTCAGAAACAAGGTACTTCTGCAAAAAGTGTGAAGTCCCACTCCACAAAGGACAATGCTTCAAAAGATATCATGTGTATACCCATTACTGATCTGGTAAGTCATTCCTAGGTATATCCATGAAAATGGATTGCTGTAAAACACACTGGTGCCAGTTTTCTGTGTAATAAAATATGGAGGTTGAAATTTAACATTTTCTTTAAAAATGGCTGGCCGGATGGGGGCAGCACTGGGCAAATGAGTAGCAGTGAAAGTGTTAATTAAAAATGTTTATATCTTTGTTCATTATTTAAAATCTTTTTGTATTTGCTGCCATCCCAAACATATGCAAAACAAGTAGTGTCCAGTTAGTCTGCATAATTTAGATTGATTTGACACTATCAGTATCATAAAGGCCTCCAACTAAATTGACAAAGATTTTTTCTATTTTTTTAACACATTGACCACTATTTATTTCACAAAACTTCTTACAGAGAGACATTTCCTCCTTGTTTAGAAGGAAAAGTTTAAAGACTAGACTATTTCTAACCATCAGTCCTTGACATTCAAAACAATGAATTACAATACTTCCTTGATTAGCCAAATGGGACAAGAGTTGAAAAAATATGATCAGATAATTCAAAATTCAGGATAATTGACTACCTAAATTATCAAAATACATTGAAGAAGTCTCTTTTTTTTTTTTTTTTTTTTTAAACCTTTATATTATGAAATAACATTTTTAAATACTCTGTTCAAAGTTTTGTCCAGTTTTCAATGAAAAATGCAAGTTTCAGATGCCTTTTCAAAAGGAATTGGTCCAGTTACTAGAATTCTTGCCTCTCGTTGAAACCATAAATATAAGGCATTCCACTTTTCATGGATTTGGATATTTCCAACTCACACTTAGTTCATTTAAAATTCTTCAAAATTCCTCAATTTTCAAAATATCACTGTCGGTTTCCCTATATTTTGTCATGATCTCAGTTTTTGAAATTTTTCTGCTACACTTATGTATGTCAAAAACCTTTAATTTCTCCTCAACAGATATCACTACTCTTTTTGCATTTTGTCTTATTCAAATTTGAGGCCATTTCAATTTCAAGTATAACAAGACTTGAAACTACTGGAAAATTGAGATGGACATTCAAGGAACTACTGTATATGCCTTTTATTTCACATTGTCATAGAATTAAGATAACTTCAAATTTAGATACAAAGAATGAGTTTGAAGTAGCATTTGTAAGTTTGACTTATTTTAACATTTAGTCAAAATGTTAAAACATTTTTCATATTGCAAGTTATGGAATTGAAATGCATAAAAATATGTCCAGAATAAGTCAAAGTTAGACTCTCTTACCTTGAAAATCAGCAGTCAAAATTCTAGCTTTTGTTTGGATTTAATCACAGAACAATGGGAAATATGTACAAGATTGAAATACAAAACAAGTTTGGTCTTTATTCTTCAAAAAGAATAAAGTACTATTACATTTTATACAATGGAACCTCGATTAATGGTTGTAATCTGTTCCATAAAGTCAGTGGAAAACAGAAATGCATGAAAACCGAGGTAATATTCCTATAATAGATAATGTAAATTCAATTAATCTGTTCCACACACCCAAAAATATTAACAAAAATATACTTTATACAGAATAACTATAATTTTATAAGCTGAAAACAATATAAAAGATAAATAACTAGAATAAATGAACATTTAACTTCACTTTTCCTTTATTGAAATTTCTTATTGGCATATGTAAGACTTTGAGGTGGGTGGGCTCGTGGTGTTATTGTTTGGGAGGAGAATTCTCCTCTATAAGGACTTCAGATAAGTTTGGGCGGTGGGGGTATTTCCCTTTTCTGTCTTTGTTCTTGTGGAAGTTACACAACAGGAAGCAAATATCAATGTGCAGGTTCATAATGGACAGATTTCCTTTCACAATAATTGAAATGTACAATTTCCAAGATATATTTTCCCCCAAAAAAGTGAATGATAACCAAATTGCACAATAATGAAGTCTTGCATTGTCATCAAGGGGAACATTTTTCCTTTAATCCACTGTGTATGCTGCCACTGCTGTGCAGAAAGTAAGATATGGGTCATTCCAACCAAATTCAACACTAGCCTAAAATCAATATCTTTAAATTCTTTTCAAATTTTTGTTTACTTTTATGTGAAAGGTATTTCCTTAAAATTTGAATTTCTTATGGCTGCTCCAAATTTTATGGCTCATCTGCAAATTTCCAGTTTTTTTTTTTTTTTACTTTGTTCAATTTTTAAGTATTGCTGCTTTATTTGGGTTGGAACTATTGAATGCTCACTTTTCAGCCTTGATAGTTAAAAATTGTCTACATGACTTTAGGGGTGATGAATTAATTTCCACCTTACAATCCCTTTCTCACAGATGAAAGGTTTCAAGCTTCTAGCTACTCTATCAGTATTTTCCTAGGAAATTTTCTGACAAGTTACATTAATTAGTTCTACCAGTTCAGATGTTTACAGCTAAGACCTGGGATGAATCATCCTCATTCCTTTTGTATTCCATTAGTAAGAAGGAAGTTCCATTTGGGCAACTTCTTTCCCAAGAATTGCTACATTGTGGAACAGACTTCTGAAAGAATGCTTCCCCAATGGCTACAATCTTAACCTTTTCAAGTGTAGAATCAATCATTATTTTTACTACTTGTCTTTATAATCTACACTTCTTACCTATTCTTATTTTCATACAACCTCCTTCAGTAACCTTCAACCTTTAGTAGCTCTTACGACTTGTATTTGGTAAACTGTGTGTGTGTGTGTATATATATATATATATATATATATATATATATATAATATTTCTGCCACATATGGTCTGGTACTATTGCTATATGTTTAGAGATTCTTGATAAAATCCAAAGAAGAATCAGCAATATTATTGATCCTGACTCGGTGTCTCAGCTTCATCACTTTCCTACCACCATACTGTAGCTTCCCTGTGCCTTTTTTTTTTTTTTTTTTTTTTTTTTTAAATACTTTTGTGGCAATTGTTTAGAAGAACTCTTCACTATGGTACCTAGACTTTGTGAATTTAAGCACATTACTAGATTGGTGCAAGGTCTCGTCAATTCACAATTGAATTGGGTAAATGTAGCTGTAAATTCTATGCTAACAGTTACTTTTCTAGAACTTCTTGCTTGTGGAACTCTTTTCTGGCTCCATGCTTTCTAACCAACTTCAATCTGCAAAAATTTAAATGTATTGCTATTCTTGCTTATTCTAGTATTTTTGCTCTTTAATGTTTTCCATTTTTTTTTTCTTATTTCATACTCAGTAACTCCTTGTGTGTTAGTGGCTTTACTACCTTGCATGGAGTGAAATGATTTAAAATATATATATATATATATATATATATATATATATATATATATATATATATATATATATATAATTTTATTACTTAAATGTTTTTTTGGATACTCATATTTAAGTAGATTCTCAGTTTATTTATTAAACAGTATATTTTATTTATTTTTATCTACTGGCCTGAATATTTGAGAAATCAAAAAAAAATATGCACTCTGGCAGGATGCTTTGCATATTTTTCTAATAAGATTTCTGGCAGATTAATAAAAAAAAAATCCATCTCCTTTTTTTTTTTATTTATAATAATATATATATATATATATATATATATATATATATATATATATATATATGACCCCAACATATAATTCTTATGAGGCAGTAGCTGTCATTCTTGCCACATGTCTTATATTTTAGTTCATTTATCTATATATATATATATATATATATATATATATATATATATATATATTCATGTTATCCTTAATAAGCATAGATTTAGGCATTATTTTTTAAATATTTGGTCAAATGGAGATGCCGTTAAAAAAATCTATCTAACCTGAAAATAGATGATTATATATGTCAACACAAAAGGAAATATTTGTGTTTCTGACTGTTTGTCACATAGAAATAACTTTCTCGTTCACAGAGAGGAAAGTCTGAAGTAGAACATCCAATTTCACTACTGTTTGTATCATTGTTCCTATTATTGTCTGTTTGTTTCTTTTCAGAGTGAAGTATGGATCTGTATGGAACTAATGGCTACGTGCTTAGATAAATTATTAAAGAAAACACGCAGACCTATACCCGAGAGAATTCTAGGCAAAATGGCAGTTGCAGTGAGTTTAAGCATTTATTTAAATTAAACTCTGATATTTAATTAAAAAAAAATTAATGCTGGAAATGAATTTGGTGCTACTTAAATTGTTAATAAATGAAATTTTAAATTTGGTTCATTATTCTACAAAGTTGAATAAAAACATTTTCTTGTACTGGGTTGAAATAAGTCAGATAATTGGCATTTATATCTTTGAATTATGAACACTCACAGTTACTTTAACATTACCTTTTATAACAATAATTATGTATTAAACCTAATCTGTATTGAAATTTTGTCTGGTATAAATTTTGAATGTGAAATTTCATTTGTATAAATGTTTGTAATGTATGTGTTGTATTTACTGTAACTTTTTTTTTCTCTCTAACACAAAAAAGTAGTTATCATGCTTTTAAGCAATAATGGTTACATTGTTTCATTCATTGATAGGAATTTTCATCATTGTAAGCCTATGGCTCAATTTGATATAACCAAAATTTCTAACACAGCTAATGGCAGGGTGCCTGATTTTTTCCTATTTTTATCCCCCATAAAAGTCCCTCCAAAATTTTAAACTGTCGTGAAATCAAAATGATTTTTTTTTTTTTTTTTTTTTTTTTTAACTTTATCATTTATGGTTGTTAGTAGCATAATAAAATATTAATTAGAGAATAAATATTTTGAGCCCTTCAATCTTTAAACTATGGCCTCCATGTCCTGCAGCCACTTGGTCACTGCTTTCTCTTGGTTGTATTACTGAGCAGGTGGGCTATGAATAAAGATTTGAAGGAAGCAGTCCAGTATTTAATTTGAAAGACGGTGCCAAGTTTTAAAAATATAAAATTTTATTACAAAAATATTATTTTAAAAATTATATTAAAAATTAAGTAGTTGTTTTATGTTTAAACCCTTTTAAAATTCTTTTTTGTAGAATTTTCAAAAATTTTTTTGTTACAGGTTGTTGCAAACTAATAAATGAAAAAAAAACAAATTAGATAAATTTTGTAATTTTATAAAAATTATAACTTTTTAAATTTTTTTTTTACTGATTTCAGTTAAATCATCTTTTCTTTTTTCATCTTCATAATTTTCTTTATATTATTTTCCATGTTCTGATTAACTTTATCAGACTTTAAGAATTGTGTTTTATGCATTCATTTTCTTTTAAAAAAGAATATTAGTGCATTCCAAGAATTTGCAATCAAGAGTTTAAAGTCTTTATCCAAAGAATTTTCATTTATAATTATCTGCATGATGCCATGATTAAATTTATCATTTTAAAAATTTTCTCTTGTATTCCCAATTTAGTTTATGGTAAACAGAAAATATAAATGTTGTTTGTTAATGGTTTATTTAAGTTTTTTTAATGAAAAAAAAATGAGAGAAACTATTTTCTTTACTTTATTAAAGTAAAATTACTACAATTTAGATCGTTTTTTTTTTACACTTAAAGGTACATTTACAGATATATTTACACTTACAGGTATATTTACTGATACATTTACACTTAAAAGTATATTTACAGATATATTTAAAGATATATTTAAAGAATACAAATATTTAAGTCTTTCAACCCTCATTTTTCATTTAGGTTTTATTCACCAGTTTAAAAACAAGAACTTAAGTTTTATTTGTTTATATACATTCATTTATTAAAAGCCTGTCACTATTGGTGAAAGGTAAGATTTTCTTTTTAAAGAAATTAGTAGCTTTTATTATTCTAAAAGCAACCGAAACTGTAATAGAATTAAAAATTTTGCATTGTTCAAAAATACCTAATCAGTCATCCCAAAGTTTTCTCAATTTGTAACTATATTTTTCTACTACAGATTGTAAAAGCATTGAATTATCTCAAGGAGAGGCATGGTGTGATACACAGAGGTAAGTATTTATTGTTGAGGCTAATAAAGACCTTTTTCTAAGCTTTGATAATTAAAAACTTTCCTGAATGGTTAGAATAAATTTTGTTTCCTTAACATATGCCCTTTGTATTTTACTTGGTTTTCTGAAGTTACTTAATACCCTATTTGTTCTACTCAAAACTGCTACATTCACCGACATGCAAATAACCTTGGAAAAGGTATCAATTTATCACCACCCTCCAGGTATAGGTTAAATTGTAGGACTTGTATCTGGGAAAATCATTATTCTCAAAAAATTGTAAATGCAATATTGCAAAAAAAATTATTCTTACAATCCAAAACTTATTTTAGTTTCAAATAACCCTCAAAGGTTTAAGCCATAAAAAAACCTCTCTCCACTCTGATGCTTAGAATAGGTGACCAGAGACAAATTGCCATTTGCATCACAGTTAATAAACATAAAATTATGTAATATTTTTGATTGATGGGTCCATCACAAGACACACATTCTGACAAAATAATCAATCCAGTTTTGTTGCAAAAGACCTTTTTTTAACCAAGAACACACTTTGAACCATCAGCAAGATTTTGTATGCCTTGTTGTTGTGGCATTTCAATCCAGACTACCTCTTGTTGGGTCATTCATGTGTAACAAATCATCATGCATACTCCTCTCACCTAACACTTAATATAATGTCTTTCTCAACACTGCTGTTAGTCAGAGAGGCCAGACTTCACTCAAGAAGAACATATTGGCCTTCACAATAGAAGAAGCACTCTTTTTGTTGCAAACAATGAGCCTCCTTATACAAGTGTGCATTTTTCAAAGTCAGAAAACATTCCTTAGCCTCTTAATTTCCGAATTTGCCATTGTCATTATCTTGTGTACACATCTGGCCTAGGAAATATATATGTCAATAGATCTCAATATTTGATATCTACAGACCCCCTTTGGAAGCATGGGGGCCCACAGAATTTGCACTACATCATAGGAGCCCTGGGACACCAGTGGAGTCTAAAAATGGCTCTTTCTAGTTCAGTTAGTTTGATAGATAGGAGTGAAGAGTCAGTAAAGTATGAAGGTGAGTAATTGTGCAAAGTGCATCATTCTTCACATAAGAAAAAATTATTTTTTAACAGATTTACTGCTGCATTTACCTTCTCAATAAAACTGACTAACTTTTCCCCTCCAGATGGAGATCAAGACTGAGTATTTTACATGGTTTGTTTGTCCAATTGAAAGGACTATGGAGACTATAACTTCTCTACAAGTCAACAGACTTTTATCTGTTAATTTCAGCTCTTGTACAACAGGGTTCCTCCTTCCCCGACCTGTTTAGCATAGGTATTAGCACCATCCAACAGAATTCTGCACAGGACTAAGTTTGCTCTCAACTTGTACAGAAAAGGTTTGACATGGGTGAAAGTAAATGATCTTTATAAATCTGACAAACTTAGGCTTCAACCTTTCACTTTTACCATACTAGAGATCCAGGAGTTACATACAAGCAGTGAATTCAGGAGTAAAAATGCAGCTTGCATCCTACTAAGGGCAAAGACAGCCTTTAAGAAACAACCTTTGCTGCTAATATGTCAATAACCATAGTCAGCAGTAAAAGACTTAAGATGACATTTGAAGTGGTTCAACTTCTTATTTCCAGTCACAGTTCCCAAGCAATTGCTACTTTAGGGTTATTAACAGTTCCTGGAAATCCTTCCGATCCAACATTTCAGTAACTGGACATCTTGAACTTAAGCTTATACAAGTTTATTTGAACTGGGACAAGCCTAGGGCCCAAATGAACATCGCTATGGAAACTTAGACAATTTAAGAACTCTAAGCCAACTCTCCTAACTAAAACGCAATGTAGTTAGAATGCTGCAGCCCAAGCTGAAACTATATCAAAATCTGTTGTATCTGCTTTTGATATTCATTTCAGAATTTGACTAACTCATATTTGACAATAAATTCATGAGAAACGTTTTTATATCCTGAGGTATATTAGTAAGTTTCTTATTGTCCATGTAGTCTAGACTGGGATCCGATCAATGGCTAAAACTACCCATCTCTACAGTATCATGAAGGAATTGATCTGCCAAAAAAAAAAAAAAAAAGGCTTCCAACTCTGTGTTATTAGGTACATGATTCCTAATGATATACAATAGGAGTTGACATGCCGTTAAATCCAACATCCATCCATCCTAATGATATGAAACACATTCCTTTATAGCAACACTTAACATGCACAGTCTGTCTACCTGATCTGTGAAAACAAATGGACAGATCATTCTTAAAGTACAATTTACTAGCCAAAAGACCCCTCTTAAATGGTTATCCAAATATACTGAAATGAAGTGAAAAATCTCCTTGGTAGCACATTTTCATAATCATTTGGAACAAGATGGATTTCTTGTGTGCAACAAGGTCTTGTCATTTTAGACTCTGACCTCTGTCCTTGGCCATTCAAAGTAGTTAAACAGCTATTATCAGTTCCATGTTGTCACTCAAATGGGACAAACATACTGGGAATGAGGACAACAATAGTTTTTCCATGGATTTGTGGTAGTGTGAATGATATGAAGCCTTGTTCTTGGTTTATTTTTATCTGGGATTATATGATCTGTTCACAAGTTAAATTCATGTGCAATATTATATGAAATTAAATATGAACAGTTTTTGGTCTGCATGCAATATATATTAAATGATTGATTTTTTTTTTTTCTATTATTAAATATACAATTGTTTACATAATTTATTCACAGAATATATATAATGGATTTGTGTGTATTAATGCAAATAAAGAAAGGGTTTTAGGCTTATCTGTATGCAGAGGCATCTTTCTTGTGAGCTAATTTTAGAAAACACATCTTTCTGGTCCAACAGTTGGTGACCGGGAGAGAGACTTTGTATTTTTGCACCAGAACTTTCTAGTGCATTATGGGAATTCTACTTACCTTCCTTTTACTGTAACCTAACAAGGCAGGGGATGCAACTCTTGCTTCTTATTTATGAATCACTACAGATCTTTGGCCCTTCTCAGTTTTGATAACTCTCTCCTGGGATAATTTCTACTGATGTGTTTCGGAAAGATTAATTTTATTACCCTATATAGAGAAGGGTATACACTGTTCACTCCAATAACTGCCAGGCTTCTGTTACATTTATAGAATCCTCCACATTTCACTATGCAAAGGTTGTGGAGCATCTTCAAGTATTTTTTTTTTTTTTTTTTTTGTAAGAGTTGCTCCTCTAAAGCAGTTTTGGAGTTTTTAAGATGTCCACAAAATGAGGACAGCTGAAGATGGGGAGATAAGCACAATATTTGAATTAATGTTTGAGTGTAGCAGGTATGCTGTTGATGGCAAACAGTAGCAGTAGTGCTAAAATTAGTGGTATCAATACTGGTTGTTAGAATGGTTGCAAGCATAATGGTTTTGGAAGAAGATAGGAGGCAGCTGCTTATATTGTTTTTTTTTCTTCCTGTTGTCCAGTTTTGTGTGCATGTCCAAAAATCAAGATAATTATCTCCTTTTTAGCTAGACTGGCACATGCTGCAGCTTTTTGATTTCTCTCTGCATACAACTGTGGGGCTCATTCCTTAGGGACTGAAAAGGACTCCAATCTCAGTGGTTGCTTCTTCTGCTCACTCTTTATTACTACCTACCACTCTTTCTGTCCTCTTCAAAGAGGCCACCAGCTTTTTTCGGTGAAGAAGAAATCCGGGGATGGGAGCAGAGGTGTGCCTCAATATCTTGTTGGATTTTCTGTCCAGGTGAGACTGCAGTAGGTTCTTTTTTCATTACAGATATGGTGGCCAACCTGTAATAACAGGGTAATTTGCAGGTAACTGCTTGTGCAGGTTAAAAATAAACAGCCTATACTTGCCAGGGAAATAGTTTATAGCAAGTAATCCTGCCTTGTGCTTGGCTGTCAGTGTTTGATTCAAATTAACTGAAACAATTAAAAATTAAATCTAAGCTAAACTAACTTCATTAGTTGGTGTTACGGGATTTTTACTACAAGGTAACTCTTACTAATCATAACCTAAATTCACCAACCTAGATTCTTCTAGAAATATTAGTATATTCATTATTTACATATAAACTATTACTCTCATCTTTGCTGCTGTTATCACGTTTTGGCTGTTGTCTGTGCCTTCCAGCCTTCATCTAGTACTTGCCAATTCAGGTAACCTTCAGGGAATTTAAAACTGAACCCTTTATTTTATCAATAGGGATAGATTGTTCTCATTCCACTGACCATGTCTTGGGATATCTCATCTAATTCTTACTTTAGTACTGCTCAGTTATTGCTTACCTGATTTCCACTGTGTTCAAGTACACACTACTTGACCCAGGGATTAAATTCACAATTATTAAGTCCCCAAATTCACTAGGCTATTATCCTGTACTGAGGGCACAACATCCACAATGCTGTGATAACAAAGATGAGGGAGGACAGTAATCCATGTGTAAATATTGTACACAAAGTTAACTCCTCATCCCAGAAATTCGGACAAAAATAATATATTATTTATTACTTAATAATCATCATTTACCTTTGGCTGACTTCTTGTTCTTCCAAAAACAAGATGGAGTTGACTATCTGACCTGATACCTTGGCCCAGTATGGCCAAAGAGAGGAAGTGATGGATGTCAATCAAGGTGTGGTTCCTGCAGAATATTTGCATTAGAAATGGTGTCTATGATTTAGTACCATGGTCCAGTATGGCCAAAGATATGAAGTGGTAGAGATCAACCAGAGAAGGAACGAGAAGGTCCTGGATTTGCACTTAGATTCATTATTTAAAAATGAAAACAAAATATAATTTTCTTGTTTGTGGCCTTAATTTTGGACATAACAATTTAAAAATTTTTTTTTTTTTTTCAATATTAAAATTCACCTAATGCAAGGTCTGAAGGCCACTCAAGGTAGAGGGTTATTTATTATTAAAATGATTGATAAATGAAGTGTGTGATATGAATGAAAGAGGAAGTGATTAGAAGTGAAGATGATAAGGATAATAAGGATAGTTAATAATTGACCTTTTGATTTTGAAGGTAGGGGTAAGATTTTAGTGTTCTAGGAAGTGTCCGTGTGGCAATCTGTTCTACAAATTAACAGTTCTTGGATAAAAAGCTGTCTAATTGGAACTTTCCCCGTTACATCTGCAGTACGGAGGAAATGAGTGTTATTTTATTCTATGGAAGTAATGGTTTAAACTGATGAAACTAAAGAATTTAGTTCATCAGAGTTCATCTGAACATTTGTCATATAAATAGCAATGGAGTAGTGATAATTTTAGAATGTCATGTCTGTGGAGAAACTTTTGCAATTATGCTTTTGGAGAAAGCATGGACTGGGGGAGGAAAAAGGTTTTTTATTAAAAAGGATTTACATACAGTAATTATGTCAAGTAGTTCAATACTTCTCACTTTGTTGATGGCAAGTTAATCAAATTTCAAAACTGTTTATTTAAAATACTACATTTATTAAAATATATATTCACTTTAAATATAGGAGTCATAAAAATGAATTCAAGTTTTGGCTTGTATGCTTTTCCTGTTAGCCAGTTGTTGCCAGACAGGGAAATTAGCCCTTGAGATACAGATGTACATTTCAATTTCATTCAAATTTTATGTATATATTTGTGTGTGCTCATGTACATATCCAATGGCAGACCTAAAAGTATTTTTACAAAATTTAAAAAAAAAAAATTAAAAAAAAACCTTTAGAGATTGTCTATTTATTGCCAAATAAATTTTTAAAAGTTCAATTTTTTTTTTTTTTTTGTCTTGTCTTCAGCTTTGATTTAATTGTTCAGTCCAAGATAGGGATTGTCCAGATTAAGTGGGAGAGGAATGTATTATTTCAATGTTTTACATCAAACTCTGTCAAATTGTGTGTGTATACTTTTGTTTGCTAAATGCAGACGGTCCATAACGGACAAAGAATTGATTCTCCTTTTATAGGGTAGATCAGTTTAGCATTTTGACAACGTTTTTTTCTCAGAAAATTAAAACAATAGCCAGAATCCTGTTTCAACTGAAGAACTGTTTGTAATTTTTAATTTTATGTATTTAGAATGATTTTATTTTTGTTCACAATTGCCATCTAAATTTTCTTTTTCTAATAATATTAACTCGGTATTTCTTGTGCAGTTCTAATTAATTTTAAATGTACATGATATCTAAAAAAAAAAAAAAAAAAAAAATTATGCCAACTTTCAAGTATTGTTAATTTTACTTGTCTCCAAAGCAACTGGCTTACAGCCGTATCATGCTAAAACAGCGGTTCACATATGATCACCAAAGTTCAGCAACATCGAGCCTGGTCAGTACCTAGATGAGTGACTGCTTGGAAATACCAGGTGCTATAATTTTGGATGTTCGGTAATGTAATGGATAACTGCTTAGAATTGTAAATCGGAGAGCCAAATTCCAATTCCAGTTGGTTTTGTTATATTTACTTACATGCAAATACCCTTGAGGAGAGTATGAATCCATATCTTTTACACCCCAGCTATGGGTTAATTAGTAGAACTTGTACCAGTAAATCATGATTCTCTCCCCCAAATTCTTACAATCTAAAAACATTTCCTTGTTTTAAATAACCTGCAAAAGGTTGATAAACCATAAAAAACTATCAAACCAAAGCAAGTGACATGGAGTGTAATGATCTCATAATTGTATTCTTTTGGGACATTTAGAAATCCAACGAGGTTAAGTGCTTCTGTTAGTAGAGAATAATAGCAAAATAAGTTATGGCGATTTGGTGTAAGGTTTTTCTGTTTTAAATTTTTTATTTTTTTTTATTTTTTTTTTTTTAAATTATTTATATTTTCAATTTATAAATGGATTGGTGCGGTATGTCTGTCTTGCTACTGATGGTGGCACAGCATCTGTTATATCCTCTCCGGGATGCAGACCTGGGCAGGGTTTTATGAGATGCCGGCAGTTGCCCATGCAGCACATCTCCCCTCTTCACTCCACTTATGTTGTCCAAGGGAAAAACAGAAGCCAATACATCTTGGCAACAGTGTGTTTGCAGGAGTTGCCAGAACAAAGTTGAACATAACATTGGATTGTCTTAGGGACTCTGGATTTGGATTTGTCTTCAGGGTTTACTCCTGAAGCTTTTCCCATGATTGGGTATGGCTGCAAGGCAGCAGAAGTTTAAAACCAGTTTTCCTTCTTTTTAGATGGACTGCCCTCCAGGGCTGAAGAGTTCCATCTACCAATCTAGTAAATGGATAAACTACTATTTATTAGGTTTAGTCAAATATTGTCTGATATTAACAACTTTATTCAAAAAATGAAATACAATTACATTTCATTCAATTACATATTTATCATCATTTGCAATGACTTCATGCTGCTTATCAGGTAACTCTTTGATACCTTTGGAATAAAATTCCATGGGTTTTGATGTGAAAAAGCCTTTGACAAACTCTTAAATTTTCATTAGAGAATGTTTTCCTTATCAAAGCATTTGGCAGTGATCGGGGTGTGGGGAGTAATAATTGGTTGGTTTAGGGTAAGGTCAATATGGTGGATGGAACCAACTTAGTTTCAACAATTCTCTTGTTTTATTCTTGCTGTATGTGGCCTTGCATTGTAATGAAAGAGGAAAAGTTTTTCTTTTCGAATTTAATCCATGAAAGATAGTAAAGCCACTAAGACAAAAGGAGTTACTGGGGTGGAAGAATTATAAAATAGAAGCATTATTAAAGAGCAAGAACAATAGAGGAGTAACCAAGAAGATGGTAGATAACGATTGACATTGCATTTAAATTTTTGAAGATCAAAGTTGGTTGGAGAGCATGGAGCCGGAAAAATGTTCCATGACATGTATGCTGCCATGCAAAATTTATGTTATTGTACTTTAAATTTATTCTTTACTGCCATGTGTGATTACTAGTTGGTACATTTGTCATTGCAATTGGTTTCCAAAAACGGGAATTACTTATGACTCAACTTAGTAGTTCTGTAAATAGTTTTTCTTTTATATAAGACTTTCTAAATTTGTATTTTATTTATAAATTACGAAGATGTGCTACAGAATATGTTCTGGCCAGTCTAGTATGATATAAAAACTGAAATTGTGTTGTTGCAGATGTGAAGCCATCCAACATTCTCCTAGATGAAAAAGGTACAGTAAAGCTGTGTGACTTTGGTATCAGTGGTCGACTGGTGGACTCTAAAGCAAAGACCAGAAGTGCAGGCTGTGCTGCATATATGGCGGTAAGTATTCCTGCAATCACCTGGCCTTAATGCATTCCTCACCATTTCTTTTTGCTATCTACTACACAAAATAGAAAATAAATTTTCTATTAACATATGCTTGTAAATGATGAAGAAAAATATATATTGTATCAGGAAGTTGTTGCAAGATTTTAAATGTATAAAACCAAGAGGGGACGCTGATACTAGAGAAGGAAAAAAAATACCTCAAAGACGAAAAACAATACATCTGAGAGCTTTTCCACAATGAAAGAGGAAAACCTGCAATACACAAAAATATGGAAGGACCAGAAATATTAAAGTTTGAAGTGAAATTAGTACAGGCCAAGTTTAATCAGAACAAAGGAGAGGGAGCAGATGGGAATGTAATGGAGATGCTGGTAGCCTTAGATGATTTCAGGACTGTCAACATTATAAAAATAAGAAATGAAATATGACAGTGGTGCTATACTGGAAGACCTTAGTAGATCCACTTTTATAGTGCTGCCTCAAAAGTTGAGTTCAATTGAATGCAAGCTTCATCAGACAGTCAGCCTAATGAGCAACATAACAGAACTTATTCAAATGAATAGTGTGTAGCAGAATTAGATAGAAATAGGACAAGAACTGTGATTTTCTTAATGACACTGGAACAAGGAATGTGTTATTCAGATTCTGAATGATATCAGAAAGAGTAATACAAATGTAATAAAGTTTTATAGATTATCGAAAGCTTCTGACTCTTTGAATTGCTAGATAAGTTTTATTTTATTTGGGAAAAATATTAGAATAATCCAGAACTTATACTAAGTGTGACAATATTTAACATGGTGTACGGATGAAAAGGGTTAAAAAGACGATTTTTTTTTTTTTTTTGACAGAAAACTGATTCCTTTTCCCATGGCATTGCTTACACAATGCGATGATGCCTAGTGAAAGACAGCTAGCAGGTTCAGGGGCCAGAGGTTAAGTCATCTGTTGAAAGTTGCCCAAAGTATACGTGCTGAGAAAGTTGTCAGCCAAAATTTCCCTGACAAAAAATTTTAATTATGAAAACAGAATGAAGGCAGAAGATGACGTTGGGAAGGCTGACATCATAGAATGGCTCCTCCCAAAAGAGGAGGGTATCTTCCAAAATTGGAAGTGTGAAATAGAAAATGGAAGAAAGAGGTTGGTTGAATTTTAGGAGAATTGCATAAAACCCACCTATTTGGCCACACCACACCAGTTGGAAGGGACACCCATAAATACAAGTGCTCAGGGGGCGCCAAAGCAGTTGCCGTTGGAGTTGCGGTCCACAGTTGCAGTCGGAGTTAAGTTGAGATGGGGAGTTAAGAGATTTCTACCATAACACTGTTTTGCCAACCTAATGAAAATAATAATTATTATTATCTGCTGAAGAAGAAAAACTCCAACAAAATCCTTGTGCTGTCCATAAAAGTACAATCAACAGTATTTGAAATTAAATCCAGTTGTCGCTAAAGAAAGACTCCAACGATAAACCTTGTCTCATTCTAGAAAGTACAAACCACAGTACTTGAAGATAAATCCAGTTGTCAAGTCTGGCCAAGTTACCCGAAATTTTTGTTCCATCGCCAAATATTAGACCAGGTTGGGAAAAGAAAAACAAAAATAAAAGAACTGTAAATATTTTTTTATTATTTTGATATACACATCATATTGTGACTTATTCAGGCGTTGTCCATTTTATTTTTCAATTTTGTGTGCACGTGTTCAACTCCTTGGTTTAGCGTGGTTGAGATACCCCAGTGATAATTTGGCTTGACTCTCTTAAGATCAAAAATCACAAAGTCATAGTTGAAGAGGTCAACTTAAAGATCAGCCATGTCAAATGCCATCAATGACTGATGAGTGTGGGTTGACGGCTTGTTCTCTGATACCAGGATCGAGCCTGACCAAAGACAGCAAGCTGAGCCTCGGCCACACTGCCACATTTAGTTGCTGTGACTGGGATTGACCCTGAATATCGCCATACAGAAGCAAACTGCCTACATATGTTTTGAAAATGAATTCAGTAAATACATAAAAAGAGAACAGGCATGTGTCTTCTCACCAGACTTATTCAATCTTTACATTGAGCAGGGTTTGTACAGGTCCTGGAAACCTTGAAAAGTCTTGGAAAATTGACAGGTTTTTTCTCAGGGATTGAAAAGCTCCTAGAAAAGTTCTGGAATTTTCTAAATTGGGCTGCACACACATTCCTTTTTTTCAATTCGTGAAAATCAAAATACCAAATCCCAGAAATTTGGCCTTTTTTTTTTTTATTATTATTATTATTATTACAAGGTAAAATTGTCCTTTAAGAAAAATGTTTTTTTAATCATCAGTAATTGGTAATTATTGCAAATGGTGGTTTGTTTCCTCGATTAGATTCATGACTTCATAGTTACTTCTGTATTTTCTCATCCAGATGATGAGAAAGAATATGAAGGCATGCCTTCTATCTGCTACTCTCACTCAAAGATAAAAGGTGTCAGAGATTAAGTAAATATCTCTGTCAAATATAAATTAATTCACACTCATTGATTTTGTAGTTGAAAGGAAAATAATTCATTATTTTACACTAATAAAATGCATTTTAGTAGAATCTTGAAAAATTTACCAGTGTCTTTTAAAATTTGAACAACTGAAGAAATTTTATTCATGTGTCAATTTCTTTCTAGTCAGTGGTGGGTAAGTTCATGCTGAAAAAATAGATACTTTATGCATCCCATGCTAATGTGTATCTATACATAAACTATGTTTGTCTAAATTGTTGCCAAAAGTAACAAGTTTGAGAATCAAATTTGACTCTAAGACGATGTAGACGAGAAGGATGATAGAATAGAAAATGTGCCTTTGATGTCTTAGGATAGGTCAGAAAATGTTTTTTTAAAAAAATAAGAATGTTACTTTAAAGTTTGCAGGTTAATAATGACTTGTATCTCTAGCATTTGTTGTAAATGTTAAATAATGATGAAATATATTAAATCTTATTTGGCTTATATTGATTGGCTTATCTTATATTAAAAGTCCCATCTGGCAACCCTGTCCCTTTTTAATTGCTTTTGTATTTCTGCCATAGATGACTAGAAAATGTACAAACATATGAATGACTCCTAGACATATGGCCGGATGTATGACACCCAGACCAAGTCCTTCTCTGTGGTGCTGTCAAATGTGAATGATGTTTTAATTCCAGTGAAACTTCAGATTTTTAAGACATTGAACCCTAAAATAGAGCAATAGTCCCTTGCTTCCTTTCCTAGCAGATGATCTTTTCAGCATGATCAAGAAACTGTTAAGATTTGTAAAGGAAGATCACACTAAAAAGATAATTACATTTTCCAAACTGAATAAATCTCTAAGAATTTTTTCAAACTCAAACATGCATAAAGATGCTGCAAAGATCGAGTATGGATTTCTGGCAGATAGGGCTATGCAAAATTTATCCAAAAAAGGAAATGTATCAACAAAAGATCTGTTTGCATGCAGAATTACAACAATGTTCATCACCATCATTGAGGAATTTTGGCAAAGTTTCCCTCTTAGAAGACAGTCGGTACAAAGAATTTGAGGTGGAGGCCGCTGGAAATATTGCTTTCAAAAATTTCAGCAAGCATGAAAACCATCTGGACATTTTGTTCTACTCTTTGTCTAACAATAAGGAATATCAGAAACTGTGGAAAGTTGTTCACAGATTGCTGGTTCTCTTCTCATGGACAGGCCTCAGTGGAGAGAGGTTTCTCAGTCAATAAGGAAATTTCCACTGACAATATGAAATGGCAGATTCTGGTTGCACAGTGCATTATCACAAGATATTTCAATGATTTTTCATGTGTGGTTCCAATGAATTTTAACTCTATATGGTAGCTTTCAAAAAAAAAAAAATAATAAAGAAAATGAATGGCATCACAAACATTTTTGGTTAATGATTCTTTTGTATATTTAAAAATTAACATCTAATCAATCAAATTTATTAAGTAAATGATAAAAATAATATGCATGCGTCCAGTAAACTAGTAAGGTAACTAATGCTGTTTGTCTAGGGCAAGATAGTTTGATTGGAACACAGCCTTCTTAGGATGGTTTTTTTCAATTCAGTTGTCCTATCATGGTTAAAGAACCTAGTCTATCCTACTATTTCACTCATAGCTAGTTGGATAAAAATGAAGTCATACCTATTCGGAGGCCATTATTATGAAATGAATGCAGTCTTTGGCAGAATTTGATCTCTGTTTAACAATTCCATTTTCTATGCTAATAACTACTAAACAAACAGAATCTCCGGTTAATGAAGGAGACTAGCCCAGAATGGCAAACTACTAGTCAGAAGACCCTATGGGTATGGAATTTTGACAGTGATGCCTTTATCTAAGTTTTGGAATAAGACTAAAAGAGTGCAAAAAAATGGGGAAATGTTCATAAGAATTTTAAAGAGTCAACAAGCATCCTGCACCCAGATTCCTTAGAGAGGCTAGCCAATGCATGACAAAGTACTAAGCCAAGGAGTTGGCATGTATTTCTTTAATCATCTACTTTCTACTTCCTCCTAGAAATGATGCTATCATGACTGTTCCTTGTATAATAAAAGTGAGATAGGAAAAAGATTATCCTTCATTGATGCAATTTATGATGTCATGTTGGGGTCTGAAGAACTGAAGTCAAACGATACAGGACCTAACACACCAAAAGTAGTTGATATAATTTGAGTTTCTTCTCTTTTAAAAAGATCTTAATTTTCTTCCTACAACTTATTTTTCTGATTCTAAAGGTTTATTTGGCCTTTGAGAAAAATCACTGATTAATGTTTGCTTTGAAAATAACTTCCAGAAGTAGGGCTTTAGTGTATTCACTTTTGCTATCTAAACAGAATTTCACTAATCTCTGTTTTTTGTTTACTTTCTCTTTTTAGCCTGAAAGAATTGACCCACCAGATCCTGAACGTCCAGATTATGACATCCGTGCAGATGTTTGGAGTCTGGGGATCTCTTTAGTAAGTAATTTTTTTTTATTGGCTATCTTCATTTGTTGATTTTAGTCAATATTTTTTTTATTTTATTTTTTTTTTAAAGCAGATGCAATTTTATAATAACCAATGAAGATACTACATACCTTGTGGAAAATTCATCTTTGTCTGATGTTTCCTTTACTGCCACTGATATTCCCATCTGCCTCTTAATATCATCAAACCAACACATGAGTGGTCATCCCTGGTGCCACTTGCCTTCCACTAGGCCCAGCAGAATGTCTTTAGCCACATCATTGCATAATATGCCCAAAGTAACAGATCTTCCTTAGTGCCATCTGCTCTCTCAATACATACATTGTTCTGATGGTATCTAGCACCCACTTATTATTGCATCTCACTGTCCATGGCACTCTAATGTCTCTGCAATATGTCCACATCTCAAAATCATCAATCTGGTGTCTTTATCCTCTTGGTCAGTGCCCATGACTCATAGCTAGCAATGATGAAAGAAATGGCTTATAATTTCAACTTTACGCTGATTGATGGGTTTATTTTGACTATTGTAGATAGTCAGAATTTTTGTCATTTCACTTCTTGCTATTGCCAACCTTCTCTTGATCTCCCATATACAGCTGCCCTGAGTATTTATGGTGGAGCCCAGGTACACAAAGTACTCCACCTGTTCTATCCCCTCATCATCCAGCAGGAAATCTGAAGTCTTTGCGGCCCCTATCAATCACCATTAACCTTGATCTTAGTGTTTTAGAAGACCTTGCTGGGTGCTGGAATCACTTACAGTTTGTAGTAACATTATCAGGCTATTCTTAGAGGTCAACAAGAAGGACATATTGTCAGCAAACTGGATGTTAACAATATTCTTCCTACCAATCTCGACTCTGAACTTTTTCCCTTCCAATATATCCCATGTAATGTCCTTGTTGTATGTGTTGAACAACATCGGTGATAGGATGCCGCCTTGCCTAACACCTCTTTCAAAAGGAAAATTACTCTTTAATTTTTCATGTTGATGACATTAGGCTGAACAATTTTATTTTTTTTTAAAATTTTCTGATTGTATTTAGAATTTTTCTCTTAAAATATCATTTTCTTTTTATTTTCCTGTGTCTATGTAATTTGCTGACATAATAGAGATTGTATAAAACCATTGTCTTCCTGTAATGAAAACTTAAACTTTTAGGCTTAATGACTCTAAAATAGTTTAAAGTAGAATATTTTTTGCCTCATCTGTTTTTTTTTTTTTTTTTTTTTGAGCCATCCATATTTACAGTGGAGTAATGGATAGGGGTTCTGATTGAGGAATCAGAGAGCCGAGATCGAATTCCAGTCGAATCCATTACATTCACATGCTAATACTCTTGGAAAAGGTATGAATCCTCCTCTTCTCCCCCTAGCTATGGGTAAATAGCAGGACAGACCAGGTTCTATAGCCTTGGATGATAACTGGCCTACTTCAGAAAGAAATGGCAACCTACTGCAAAAAATCTGCCTTGTCAGTCATGTATTGAAAGATACATGATCGCCTAAGCATGTATCACGCATGGCATATAACTGACTGATATTTACAGCAAACATTCATGAGCATCAAAAACAAATAATTTTATCCATGGCCTTAAACTAACAAAAATAATCTTTTTAGATCAATTCAAAATAAGCGTAAAAATGAAAAATTTACATGTGTTTGCTAGAAGGGGGTATTAATCTGGACATTAAGACAAAATCTATCTATATCTATAATTCTCAAAATGTGTGTGCGCATGTGTGATCGGATGTTGTTTATGCATTTCCATGGTTTTTGTCTGAGATTAAATTTTTCTTTTGTTTGATAGATAATTCTTCAGTGCTGGTTTTGAGTCCAAATTGGCTCAAAAAAATTACAACCATGAAGGTGAAAAATCGAAAACTGATTTTTTACAGTTTGTGCAAAAATCAAAATCAAAATCTAATGTCTGTAAAAAAAACAAAAAACATCATACAATCAATTTAGAGAGTTGAAATCTGACACAAAAGATTATTAGAATTATAAAAAAAAAATTATAAATAAAAATTATTGTATATTATTATTATGACAGTTCATGGAAGAGGCTCCTTCCTTCTAAGATTGAGAACGCAAAAATGGCCCTTTTAAATTGTTAACTCCCCATTTGGGGATGTGCCTCAGTTGCACCGAAATGTTGTTACTATTATTGATTTTCAGGGGGGCTGAGTTTAAACTTAAACTGCTCCAATTGAACAGCAAAAATTCCCAGTAATGAAACACCTGGTCAAAGGCAGGTTATACTGCTAGTTTACAATCATTTCCAAATTTAAATTTCTACATTACAAGCAAAATTATTGTAAAAATATATTAATGTTTGCATTATTATAAGAGCAAACCTTTTTGTTGATCTATTTTTATTTATTTTTTATTTTATTATTTTGTGCTTTATTTTATTTGTATTTTTTTATCTACTAAACTGCTCATTTGAGTTATCAGAAGTTCAAGTGAGCTTGTGATGTTTCATAACCTGGAATGTACTAAAATTTAATTTTTTTTTTTTTTTTTATTTATGTAACCAGAAAATACAGAAGCATGATGACTTGAGGAATTTTAAATTACAAATAAAAAAAAAATTACAATATGACAATTTCCTAAACTTTTCTTAATTTTAGTTTTCATTTCAGTAGAATATTTTAATATCATTACAATTGGCTAATTCTGAAATGATCAATTCATCAGATAATTCTGGCTGATTTCCTTTTTACTGTAGAATATTTAAAAAGGTTTTCGTTTGTGATTGCATCCAATGATTGTTTTTTGTTTAATCTATAGATTTATGAAAGAAAAATTTTGATGTCATTGTAAACTTGATTTTTGTGCTTTTTATGTAGGTTGAGCTGGCAACTGGTGAATTTCCTTACAAGAATTGCAGAACAGATTTTGAGCTTCTTACAAAAGTGTTGCAGGAAGATCCTCCACTTCTTCCACCTAACAATGGATTCTCTATAGACTTTTGTTCATTTGTACGAGATTGGTAAGCCTGCTGCTTTGTAACAATGTTAAATCCTGTTATGTACTAAATTTCATTAATCTTTTAAGACTGGAAACGCTCAAATGTGCCTACAAGTAGCCATGTATGTGAATACATGCCATTAACACCCATCATTGCATGATTGATCAACTAGAGGTGACAGAAATTTACAACTTTTACAATGTTGTAGATTATCAAAACTAACTCCCTACCAGTAATAGTGATGCTAAATTTGCTATCATTTGAAAGAGAAATCAACTTGTAATGCTTTGTCCTACATTTTTTTTTTTTTGGGGGGGGTTAATAAATCAATTGCATTAAAAGTGTGACACTCACCGGTGGTCGCAGTCCGACGTCAATATATGACACTGCGCCATCAGCCCATGGTCAACTCCCAGTTGTGGCATGAAGAAGGTTTCCTCCACCAGCATTTTGGGGGTTGACTCCTTGTCACTGCCACCAGCCTGTGTCCCAGTCAATCTGGTCGTTTCTGGTTCGATACCAGCTTTGTTGTTCTCAGCTCGCCTCCAACACTTGGTCACCGAAGTAACTGCTTTGATCTCAAGTCTAACCTACCCATGTTGTGACTTTGATCTTAGGTAGATGAAATCAATCCGGCGTCGAGCCGTAGTGGAAGCTGAATCTGGGGTAACGGTGATACTGAACAAGCGTAAGTAAAAGAAAAATGATAAAACAAACTCACGAGGTTCAAATATATTGAGAAATAACAATTATCTTTATCTGTTGAATAAAGGAGTATGTTTCTCTCTCAGCCCGTTTCTATGGATTCGTGACACTTGCGTTTCTTAAGCAAGTTATGGTATCTTAAGTCGTTTGTCAATAAAAACTTGCTTTTGGTAGGAAGACTAAGGCAAAAAGGATGTGGAAATCTTTTGTTCAGCCTCTGTGAGTCAACACTCTCGAACTAACTCCAAATTCGAACTGTCTGGAACTGCGAACTCTCTGAAACTCTGCCGAAACTCCCTCGGCTGCCTCGAGACGTTTGTTTATATGGACACTGACCAACTCCAGGGTGGGGCCTGTTGTGGTTTGGTTTCTTTGACATTTCTTAATTCCCAACAAGAATTCTCTTTGTTTTTAGGCCAGGAAAATTAGTTACTTCCCATTTTTGGAAGATTAATCACTTTCCACTTTGGGGTTCCTCCCTCGTCCGTGAGGGAAGGTCAGAGGAGAGTTATCCTCCTACACTCTTCCTCTCTCACATTGGTATCTCATACCAGTCCCCTCAATGGGTATTAAAACTTCTCTCTTTCTCATACATTCACCTCTGCCTATCACCCATGCTACCAATTAGCTAATGATCTCTCGACAGTGTAGCCGTGGCTAGACTGGCCCTCTTAGAATTATTATCGAAAATTTTGATTACAAAATCCTTTTTTTTTCTTTTTCTTTTCCTTCGGCCAAAACATTTACAATTCCCAAATCCACCTAGACAACTTTTAACTGGGTGGTCGTGTTTACCTGATAATTAAATTCTTTATTTTTCTCATGTGTTAGAATTCTCTTATCACCAGATGCTCATTTCCGAGCCAACAGTTTGAATAAGCAATAATAATGATCCCCTTTTCAACTCTCTTTTTTTCATGTCAAGATTTGTACATAGACCAGATGGCTTCCCTCGCTGGAATCGTGTAATAAAGTCAAATGATATCTCTGAAATATAATTAATAGCTATTCTCAAGGGTGGTCTCAAGCTGAAATTTTTTTATGACCGCATACGTTGACTGACTTAGAATTCTGTTTCGTTTGACACGTCACTCCCTTATCGTGACATTAATTAATTTGACAGAATTACAGTCTCCCTGCCTCTTACTGATTTTCTGTCTTTTGAGAAAAGTATCTTCCTTTTGTAAATAAAATAAATTCTTCTTTTTTTAATGTCTATCTTTTGGTATAGCTCTTTCTCGCCTTAAGTATTTCCTGTTTTTAATTTCTATGGTTAACTAGTTAGCCAATTACCATAGCTAAATAGTGTCACAACACCACATTCAGAATTTTCAACTGTTCTGTCAGGGTTCCAGAGATTTAACGCTTTAAATCAATTAGGTCTGATGATAGTTAATAACTGAAGGGAATGGCTTCTTATTCATTGTATTGTATTTTTATTAATCATTATTCAAAAGATTAGATAAAGCATTATTAACCATACACTTTTTACTGATATTTCTTTTATCTTAAGATGATATTAGAAAAATTAATAATCATTGAAAATGTTTAATCTAATAAGCAACTCAGGCTTCCTAAGGTAGAAAGGAATGAGTGTTCAATTTTTGTCAAGAGCTTATTCTTTATTTCCTATTGTTCCTGTTTACTAGGGATTGTAGAATAATAGTCTAAATAATTACAATGGAAAGCTTTATAATTATGATTCAGTTTGTAAATTATTTAGAATTAAATACCAGGAGGGAAACATTAATATTTAACCTGACAGTCCTTAAATGTCATTGTCATTGCTTTCAGCATATATCTCATAGTTGGTTTTATTCTGGTATATAGTTTTGAATCTAGATTTAATCCCTCCCTCTCAATACTAATTTTTTTTCAAGACTGGAAATCCCACTTTCCAAATGTAATCCCTCATTTGCTGCCAATCATTTAACCAACCTTGGACCAGCATAAACTGAAAACTTCATAAATATAAATTGGTAGCTTCTATTTCTAAAAGTGACATGATAAGAGGCTATTTCTAATTTGGCAGGAGGTTACCATAGAGTGTGTACATTTTTAAGTGTGTTCTTGCCTCGTTGAATAAGTAGGCATAACTGTATTGATAGACTTTAAATATTGATCATGATTTTTATTGAATGCTACTCTTCCCTTCTTTTTCTACTCCTAGACTTCTGGTCTAGAAGTAGGAAAAACTTTGAATTCAAAACCTCAGACTATGGGTAAATAGTAGGGTAGTCTGGGCTCTGTAGCTATGGTTGGCAACCAGATAGGCAAAGGACAACTCTAGACTGTTTTAGGGACTCTAGCTCTGGATTTAGTGTGATGTTTCATTCTGGCAACTTGGCAATCCCACATGTGCCAAGTTGTATTGACCTCATCCTTTCCCTTGGACAGCGTTTGTGGCATGGAGAGGGAGATGTGCTGCATGAACAAATGCAGATCTCTCATTAAAAAAAAAAAAAAAATTCCGTACATCTTTAGGAACGTATCTATGGTCTCTCAAGATCGATGGTTGCCAATAATACTCTTCCTCAAAGAGAATGGTGAGAGATAGGTTTCAGCAGTGTGTGGTATCTTGTTTTTAAATAAATGAACCATCTTCTGTAACCACTTTTTTCACTGTAAAGTGGAAAGACTGTTTAAATATTTAGTCTGATGAAATTTCTGACATGCATTGAACAGAATGAACTTTTGCAAAGCAAGTTCACTAAGTAATTGGAGAAAACAAGTTTTAATAAGATCTATAGCTTAGGCAAGTAAGCAACTGAAAACTAGCAACAGAAAGAACACTTGTACTCAGAATCATGAAAAGAGCTGAAATTCCTTGGACACATCATGAGGAAGGAGGTCTTGGAAAATTTAACCCTTACAGGCCTTAATGAGTGCAAGAGAGATAGGGGAAGGCAGAGAGGAATCTACCTGATGAACTTGTGTGAATGGAATGGCAAAACAGAAGAGGGTGCTTAGCAAAGGGAGAAAAACTGCTAAGGACCACAAAGCATAGAAAATTGTGAAGGGGCTATGGTCGCCTATGTCCTAAAGGGATGCAGCATATAAATTTAGGCTTAATTTACTTTTACTTGTACACACGTCTCTGTCAGTAACTACAAGAAATTAAAGTTTACGAACTCTTCAGATAATGACTTTAATGAATTATATTCATGAACCAAGGTTCCTCTGTGCTGGCATGTATCTTTTCTTAATCTACCCACTTGTCTAAGTTTCCTAAATTGCTTAAAAAATATGAATTTAAGCAAAATTTAATATCTAAGACTATTTAAACAAATGTTGGAAATTTATAAACTATTTGAAAAAAAAAAGAATTTTCTGCATAACATTTTAATGTTGTCTTTCATGATTTTATAGTTAAAATTGTGTTGGTTGGGGGGGTCCTCAAGCTTTGAGACATTGTGTACATTGCTTAGATGAAGTTACTTAGTGTAAATGTATAGAGAAAGGTACTGTTAATTATTTTATTACATTTGTTTTATGTGTTTATTTCTTTCAGCCTAACTAAAGACTATAAGAAAAGGCCCAAATACAAGAAATTACTGGTATGTTGTCACTTTTCATAAATGTGAGGTTGAGTCATAAATAATTTCCGTTTTTTGTTTATCAACTTCATTCTTTAAAAAATAAAGTACAATTACATTTCATTCAATTATATATGCACCATTATTTGCAATGACTTGTCACCTTATTAGGCAGCTCTTCGATACATTTTGAGTAAAACTTCACAAGGTTTTAATGTAGAATAATTTTTGACAAACTCTTGACTCTTGTGTTCTCTATCAATGAATTCTGCAGTAATCAAAAAAAAAAGGTAATAATTCTGCAGTAATCAAAAAAAAAAAAAAAAAAGGTAATCAGTTGGTCCAACTTCGGGTGGGTAGAACATATCAACTTAGTTCCCTGATTTTTTTTTTTTCTTGTGTTGTTTATTATTCTATTTGGCCTTACATTGTCGAGGAGGAGGAGAGCATTTTCCTTTAATCCACTGTTTACGCTGCCATTGTATGTGAGTGTGCTCCAAATTTATTCTTAACTGTCACATGTAATTAGCAGTGAGAATAAATTTGTCATTGCAATCAGTTTCTAAAAACGGAAATTATTTATGACTCAACCTAATGGATTTTTTTTTTCCTTTTTTTTTTTTTTTTTTAGATGAGATTTTTTTCCAATTATATTGTTACAGCTGTCATATCATCAGTAGGCATTTTTAAATACCTTTCAGTATTAGAATATTTTTTATTCTCTCAGTGAAAACAAAAAAAGTATAAGCAACATTTTGACACCTTTTTTTTTTTTTTTTTTTTTTTTTTTTTTTTTTTTAAAGATTTGATTAAAACAAATCGGTGCAGTTGATCTTTTGGATTACTGGCTTATTGCAGTCTTTACAAAATTCTCTTAATAAAAGTGCAGTACTGTATTGGCAGATAGGTCTCATGATTTCACTTTTGAAATTGATAGGTGTAACTAAGTTTTATTTTAATAGTTTCTTCTCTCACACTTCTCACTTGAACTCTTTTGACTTCCTATGGGTGATTGTTTGAGAATACCATGTGCTGTAAGCATGGGTGTGTAGGTGATGTAATGGATAATAGCTCTGAATTCTTAATAGGAGAGCAGAGTTCCAATTCCTATCGGGTTCATTATATTTACTTATGCATGAATACCCTTGGGAAAGATATGAATTCACTTCTTCCCATTAGCTATGAGTTAATTGATGAGTTAGTAATGACTTGTATCACAAAATCATTATCTCCCAAAAAATTCTTGCAATCTAAAAAGATTTTCTGGCTTAATATAGCCTGCAAAGAGCTGATAAGCTGTAGAAAATGAATGAATCAATCAATCCTTGCTTCCTACTTTCCAGTCAACTTTGATCTTCAAAAAATTTTAATGCAACATCAATTGTTATCTTCTGTCTCTTTGAATCCTGTTCTTTTATTGACCTTTTTGTTTTGTTCACTTAGTAATCCCTTGTCTTAGTGGCTTTATAGCCTTCCTTGGGGTAAAATGATTAAAAAAACAAAGCATACAGAAATCAACTGAAATATTAGAATGAACATTCATTCTGACATTTTAATTTTTTATGACATTAACACAAGGTTCAGCAATTTGTTTTACAGTTGGAAATATACATAGTATTTTTCGTTGTTTTAATAATAATTACTGTACAGTTACTGCTGAGATCTAGCATCCGAGATTTCTAAACCTTGATGTATTAATGGTTTCAACAGATAAACTTAAGTAAATGCTAATTCAATATTCATTTCACCTACCATTTCATCATCTGTTAATCATGGCTTAACCTTTTGAAATGACATAAAATAATGTCACACTCTAACTCACAACAACAGTTCTCTTTTCTGTCTTGACATAGTTGAAAAGCATCTACACGGCCTTGTGGGTGATTATTTTCCACTCTATAGCTCCTTTCCCAATTGACAAAAATGTCACAAGCTTTACTTTTTTTTTTTTTTTTTTTTTTTTTTTTTTTTTTTTTTTTTTTTCTTTTCTTTTTTTTTTCTTTTTTTTCTTACTCTATTTACTATTTCCTATTTCCATGGCAAATGTTTGGGCAAGCTACATTAGTCCTGATCACCTACATCCTGAAGGGATTACAGCATATAGAAGAACATCTCACAACAAATTGAGATTCACAGTCTGAGCTGCCATGCAAACCTGTTGCATAATTATTGGAAATTCAAGTAACCTCTTGTAAATGTTTTTTTTTCCAATCAAAATTGGGTGTCAGAGTTGTTGCTAGAATCTATGATGTAACTATATGAATATTTGTCTTAAACATTTTGCTTACGTTGAATACATCAAATTTTTTTTTTTCTTTCATACAGGAACATCCATTCATCAAGCGATATGAGACCTTAAATGTGGATGTAGCAGCCTGGTTTGCAGAAGTGTCTCAGTTGATGAATTCTTCATAGGCTTCAATCTTACTCATTGTGTGTGTGTGTGTGTGTGTGTGTGAGAGAGAGAGAGGAGGAGAGAAAGAGGAAAGTAGAAATGACTGATTGATGCTGAGGACTAAATGAAGGTGAGAATGAGAGCAGATGCCCTGACTGCTTGGAGGAACAGCCATTACATCATTGGGAAGTGGTGGGACTTGGAAACCTTGTAAGGCATTCTGCAATTACTAAGTTTTACCTATATTCCAGATTTCTACATTTCAGTCTTTAAAAACTTATTCATTTTATTGCATTCATGCAATCAGTTCTTTCTCATTTACCTCTTTGTCAATTGATATCACAATCACTGTCTTTCAAAACACATACATATTAAGTTTCTTGTAGAACTTCAGCTGGGTTCAGTCTAAAAGCTCCCCCTCCACACCATTTGTGCACTAACTTAGAAATTTAAATGCATATTATTTGCAATTTTTTTTCTAGTGATACACTATATCTATAAAATGAGTCATTTATTTCTGATACAAAGTATAACTTTTGATGTAATAAAATGTGATTCCAAATAAATCCATTCTTTTGGGGGGAGGAATTTTATATATGGGGAAATTGTATGACAAAAAAAAGTTTACTTTTAATGTGTTTCGTCCTTCAGGACTTCATTTCTTATGTTGGTAGGATACACATGTGTACAGCTGAAAAGGTGCTGGGAATTTTAGATTTTTTTAAATTTTTTTATTAGCTGAATTCATTTAGAGTCTTTCTTTTTCTTGCCAACATTTTTGTAAGTAGGTTTTCTACACTGTGAGAAATAGACTAAATGAATTTGGCTGATTTTTAAAAAAAAAAAAAAATTTCTAAAATTCCCTGTCATGCACGTGTAGTCTACCAACATAACAAATTTAGTCCGATGAGGTCCAGAAGGAAAAAACATGTCACAAGTAAACTTTTTACACTTTGTCATACAATTTCCATAGTATTGTTTTTGAGATGTATAAAAAGAATTAAAATTTTTTTTTTTTTTTTTTTTTTAACCGAAATTATTTATTACTCTATATGATGGTATTTTTAGTAGATACCTGTGTTTGAGTAGATGCTCTGTTTTTTGTTTTTAAACAGTGTGAATTATGTCTACCAGTCTGCACATTTAACAGAAAGAAAATGTGTTCTTGAGCAGGGTTGAACTTGTACCCCCTTTTGTAGAATTGGATTGGTCTCCCTACAAAGGGGAACACTGATTCAAACCCTGCCAGAAGGAACTTTTTTTTTTTCTTTTAAGTCTAACAGTGCACATACTGGTAGACATAATTCACACTGTTTATATAAAAAAAAAAAAAAAAAAATGGGGCTGTGTTTTCTTAAACATAGGTATTCACTATAAATAACATTTTTATATATATATATATATATATATATATATATATATATATATATATATATATGACACACACACACTCACTAGAAAATGAGCTGTCAGAATAACCAAAACATAGGAGAAAAATAGGAAGGTTTTTTTTGTAAGCAACATTTTTTCTTTGTATATTTTTATAAGATAAAAAGAAGCCAGTGCTGATAGCAAAAGCAATATTAATCAATATTTATTTGGCCAGAGAGGCTGCATGATTTTTTCTATAAAAGCCTTCTAAGTTTTCTGCATGTTGGAAGCTTCAACCTTGCTATAAATTGTTGAAAACAAGTTAAAAGCAACCAAAAATATAATCTTTTGATTACAGGAAAGGAAGGGAACTGCAGTGTTAAAATTAGTAAAAAAACAACAAAAAAAAAACATTGATCTTGACTGACTAGAAGACTTTCTAGGAGAATGTTTTCTTTTCTGTTATCTTCGATATTTACAGTGTACTTATTTAGTCAATAGACTATACAATAGTTAAAAATGATCACAATGAAGTGATGGATGTTATAATTATAAGGTTCAGTGTTTTTAAAACTGGTGTTAATAATTCTTTCCTATAAAAGTCATTGAAATAAATGTAGATGTTTGTTAGCTCAACTGTCAAATTATTTGCTTTATAACATGAACTTTTAAATTAAGTGGTTTCAATCTGATGGTTTACTGTTATTAAAAAAGAAAAAAAAATGAAAATTATTGTTGGATTAGGAGTAAGTTTTGTTCACTCTGGAAATCATTGACTTCGTATCACTTTTTACTTCAGAGGGTAAAGGACTATTTTATTCCCTTTTTAAGGGAATATAATGTGTAATTATTTATTATGAAACATTGAAATGGATTTATTTACCTATATGTCTAGTTATTGAACACTTAGGCATATAATTGTGTTAAAGTTCATTTAAATTTCAATCATGATTTTGTGATATTACATTTAATTTATGCCTTTTGTAGTCACAGTAGGTTAAACCTGATTCACCGTCTAGTCAAGAGGATGGTTTTATACATACACACACACACACACACACACAGCTAAAATTTAAGGGCCTTATATGAGGCAGAAATTTGAAACTTAGCACAATTTCAACTAGACAAAAAGAAAGGTGCCTTTTAATTTCATTGCCAGCACAAAACCCAATTTCTTGGAATCAATCAGTAGTTTGAAATTAACTTACACTGCATTTAAAATCCCTCATACTTAAATTGCTAAACAAGTGAAATAGATTTTAAGATCACTAGCACTTGTAACTTGCTGGTAGAGACAGGACTATAGTTTTATTTTATTTTATTTTTTTTAATGCAAATTTAGTAATATTAACATTGACCTAATTCTTAGGCATCTATCCCTGTTTTTTTTTTTTTTTTTTGTTTTTTTTTTTCTTTTAAATGCTCTTGGAATAGCTAAAGCTGTAGATGGCTAATATTTTTCTTAAATCAGTTGGCATCAGTAAGTATCTTTTTACATTATTTTGTAAAAAAAATAAAATAAAAAAATTTTTTTTTTTTTTTTTTTTTTTTTTTTTGCAACAATTGAATGGTATTTTTAATTATTTAATTATTCAAAAAATTTATCTCGCTCACTGCCATTTCTCTTTTTGAACTTAAAATAATCTATTTATGATCAGATGCTTTTCTTGATGCCATATTTCAAGGTTTTATTTACAATTTTCAGTTTTTGACTTTCTCTCTCTGTCCTACCACTGCAGAATCCTATGATAAATCTAACCACTTTTTTATTTTTTTTTTTTTTTAAATTGTGTACATTTGGAGATTGATTCAAAAGATCACTTTAATCATCTTATAGGACTTCAGTTCTCTCTCACAACAATTTAGTTTGATTTGGAGGATCAACACGTGGCTGAGGAAGGTCAATTTAGTACATTACTTTAACCCAGCAGATTGTTGTAGCATCTCCTTCTCTGGATGCAAACATAGGCTATTTGTTAAAAAAAAAAAATTATGACAACTCTGCTCTGTTATGAATATCATAGAAATATTTTTAAAATACACATTTAGATTAGATTACATATAATTTTTTGCTTCATCTTTTGTAGCTACAGTATTAAATTTGAGGAATCATTAGTAAAACTTTCAAGTTAGCTAGCTTTATTTTTCATTTATTTTTTTTTTTAATAACTATTGCGACCAAATAGCCACTCCAAATAATGTTTGCTTTTTCTTTTTTTCCTTGCACCACCACCTGAACTGTCAGTCAAGAAAACTGGTGCTAGTAATTTGTAGCCATAATTTCTAGATTAAAAATGTTTGAATTCACTTCTTGTTTTTATCACCATAACCAACTTGAACTCTTTATTTCTCCTTCAAATTTTTATAAAACTTTAATTTTACCTTCATATTATTCAATGTTTTTTTTTTTTTTGTTTTTTTTTACACTTGACCCCCACTTAAGTTTGCTAGCATTTCATGAAAAATTCATTTTTCAAAATGGAATGACAACACGGGTATATACTATTTCATTAATCTGTAGTTTGAATTTTTGGCAATTCATTAAGCACCACATGTGTATTGTATAAAAACATTTCTGTGTTTGCATTTAATAAATATATCAACAATGTGGATTACCATACAGTGTTGATTTTTGTCAACGTTGGCTAAATTTATAAATTCCCAATATTAAGCAAACTTTCTTCATAAATTTTTTAGCAAATTTTAAATATTTAATGTCTAGTGTGTGCATGTAAAATATATATATATATTATTTTTTTTTTCTGTGTGTGTGTGTGTATATATATATATATATATATATATATATGAAAATGTTTATGTATATAATGTATATATTTTGTTGAATATAACTGACAAGGTACTACTTTTCTGGACAGAAAGTGCGTAAAAACCATCCAAAACAGTTTTTACGCACTTTGTGATCAGAAAAGAAAACACCTGTATGAAAGAAGGATTGCTGTCTAAATACGCTCTCTCTCTCTCATTCATATATATATATATATATATATATAATTTCATTTAAATTTTCACTTACAAAACATGATTTCATCATGCAAATTCCTTTTTTGAAAGACCAAATTTTAATAGACTAAACTCTTTTCCTCTCTCTTTATCCCATCTTCTAGTTAAATAAGTTAAAAATAGTAAAAGAATGAAAAAAAAAGTATTATTGGATACAGTTAAAAAAAAAAAAAAAATCAGTTTAATCAAAATCATGTTAATTTTAAATACATCTGTACTTTTTGATTACAATAAATGGATATATAGTTGGCTCAATGATGTAGTCAGGGCCAGCAGTACATATGCTAATTTTATATCTTGTGTATGATGTGACCCCCTTAAAATTAGCTTCAAAAGTTGCATAATATGCAAGTGTATATATATATATATATATATATATATATATATATATATATATATATAGGAGTGTTGTGTGTACATACAGTATTATACATTTTTGTTTAGCAGATAAGGAAAATGGTATTGTTTTGTCATTTCATCTTAAAAGCACATGACTTCACACTTGCACATCTTTTTGTGTACTTGAGGCTGTTGATTTAATATTTTTGAGTGTCTGATGCTCCTACCCTCTCCCCCAAATTATAACTTGGAGATGGAAAGTCAGTTTGAAAGGTTGGTGTAGACTAAT